TTAGCAGTGGTACTTAATCCTGGTCATTGAGCACCACAGCCCTAATGGGTTTCTTTCTAACAATCCAATCAGGGATTACCTGATTAACACCTCCAATTACAGGTGGAAACAATTTCCTAGCCACCAGGAACAATAACTGCTGAACTGTATACAACAACAGCCAACCATTAATTATTAATTAACCGGTTGCAATTATTAATTCAGAGCAGTGAAAAGAAAACCTTGAATTTTGTCGAGATTGCTTAAAAGTAGCTTGTGAAGTTTTGGCAAGGTTTGTGAGCATAATTGGAAATCTGTTTAATTAAAGCGAATCAATACACATATTCACAGTGATCAACGAAATAACAGAATACAAGACATTGTGCATTACCTGTCATGCAGTACGATGGGCATTGTCTCCCCTCTGTGTACAGGGTGCTCCATACCCTCGCCAAAACCACACCTCAAAAACAGAAACACGGTACATTCAACACAAGTCTTTCTTTCAAAACAACAAACATTGAATCTTAGCCAAGAAACACAACATAAAGCTGTGACATGTATGTATGTTTTGATTCAGCACTTATTTGTAATGTTTTACAGTCTGCAAACTATTCTTGATACAACATATCTCAGTGTTGTAATTGAGAAACCGTACAATTAGTCGTGCATGTAAGTTTTCTTATCCTGGTAACAACAAAGTCATTATTGTACTATAGATCACAAGTAACTCTGCCTTTCAGTTAGACACGGTTATATATACACATCTCAATGCTTTTTTTCCTGCAACTGAGCAGGACAGTGAAATAGAAATAAATAACTTAAAAGTTTCTAAACTGTCTGAATAAGCCTAATAATAGTACCAGACTTCAGTAAATATCAAAACTTATCTTTCAAGTTTATCCTGAAACCAAACATTTGTGTGCTTCACAAACTTTAACTCCAGTGTATGACTCATTTATAGCCTGTGGTAAACACTAGGAAGGGGAGCATATTTGCATTCATGTTTATTTTGGATTTAAAAGGTCCTAAAGACCTTAATGACAAGATGTAAGCTCATTTCTCGACTCCCCCCCACCCTCCTAACCCATCCGCTGCTGAAATGTGACAGTTGCATCATATTTCTAACTTGTTGCTTTACACAGAACTGGGCTAATTAAAGCTAAATATATCTGCCGTGTGTGTTACTTGACAGAACAATCTCCCACTTCTTTTAAAATCCAGCTGACATTGCGTACAAACTTTAAAAGAACCTGGTACACAGGTTATAAAAGTAGTTTCCTCAATAGTTACTGCTCCTGTTGACATAACACGTTAAAGTGACCCAAAGCTGGTGGAGTTGACAGCCTCTTGCCTCTGCACAGTGCTGTACGCCGAGCTCTCAGACAGACACCGAGTCGCAGAGGTTAGTCCTGTTAAAGCTGAGTGTGACACATGAGGGGAGAAACTAAGTCCACGCCGAGGTAGCTGCCTGCTAGCAAAAGCCTCCAAAGCTACCACCGCTTGAAAGTGTTTATTATGCCTGACTAAACCATTACACTGCCACAAAGAGGCGACGCTGTCAAATTGGAGCTTTATTAATTTTTCTGGCCATGTTGCCTCAACACAGTCTCAACCCCCCTCCTCCTCCTCCTCCTCTTCCTCCTCCTTCTTCTTCTTCTTCTTCTTGCATCTCCAGTGGGAGCAGGCTAAAGCTAACTAGCCCAGCTAACCATTTAACGTTCACATTTGCTAGCTTGAAATAACATTAGATCAAGACAGTCGGCTGTGAGGCTGTCAAGTTGACAACTGTGAGCTAAATATCGTCCGCTAGCTACATTAGCTTCACTACCGACAGTGTAAACGAGCAGGGGGTCTTAACATGAGTTAGTTGGGTTGGTAATTAGTTAACGTTAGTCTGGTTGGTTGGTAGGTTTGCCACCACCAACAAATGACTGTGACTGACTGTCAACCTGGTGTTTGCCGAGCTTCATACACTGTCTATGATATTTCGATGATTGTACGTATCTTAAATACACTCTGTAAACTTTTAAAAAGCAGATTCCATACCTTCAGAAACGAGATAACGTTAACTAGCGTCCTTGTTTTCCTTCCAAGCCCTCAAATCCACTTATACCGACCGGAGCCTCCTTCCTTGTTTTATCCAATCCAGTCGTCGTTTACTAGGAGAGCAGGAGCATCCAAACTTTCCATTGGCGGAAGAGTATGGCAATCTTTTCTCATTGGCTCAAAACTTCCGTTACTAAATAAAGTGGTTCTGAAGAGGAGTCGTCTTTCTTTGAAGCGTTTGTAGTCTGACACAAATGTCTGCATTGCTTTGCTTTAAAGCGATTCGTTATTGTAGTTTTGAGTGTGTCCTCTAGGGAAGAAATAGGCTCCCTGTTGCAAGTATAAACTCACTTATTCTCTTAGAAATTACTTAAAAACAAGTACTCCCGCAGTGTCGTTGATGCATGTGGTAATGTTCACAAAAGCAAAAGTGTGAGTTGGTGGGTTTTAAAGTGATTGAAAGGGAGATGAGGTAATGAGAGGCTATCATTATCCTCTGTTTCTACAGTAACCACAGAGCACTGGATGTGGTTGCTGGCTATATTACACTCAACCTACATTACTAATAATCTATTACAATAATTAAATTAATGTGTCGCTTACTTTATTGCATATTATAATAACAAATAATATTATTATCTCATGAGTCAACACTCATATCTTTCTATCAAAATTCATCTTAATATGACCATAATAAAGTTTGGTTTGATTATAATATGGTTTCTCTCTCTTTCTTCCTCTCCACATTCAGAAGCTCATATCTAAAATAGACTGAACAGTTGAACAACCTCTGTTGATAGATAGATAGATAGATAGATAGACTTTATTAATCCCCGGAGGGAAATTGGGTCGTCATAGCAGCCAGCTACATTAAAATACAATAAAATACAACAATAGAATAAAATACTTGGATAGAAAAGATTAAAAAAAGATAAATAGGTAGGTAAGGTGCAAAGAGTTGTAGTTGCAAGACGGTGGTAATAGTACTGATGACATGATGGTAGTGTTATTGTTAATAACAGTATATAATGATAATATTTATAATATTTATAATAATATTATAATAATATGTATATATAATTTGATGACTGAACAGATATACATGTATACACATAGATATTATACATTAATATTGATAATTGGTGGTTCCATCATTATAAATGACCTATTTCACATTGTCATTTGATTCATTGTTAATATGAAAATATTGGAGAATGCAGCTTTAATGTCACAGGTGAAAGGTGTGACTGATCGTTTGTGTTCTCCATCTCTTAAATACGTCTAAATACACAGATTTATAAGGCTACACTAAACTAAACATACAGAATCCTGAGTGTTTTATACCATGCTAGAATATATAGGCTATGCTACTAGTTCAGGTTTATTGTTTAGGTTTGTAGACTGTTGGACACATTCACAACATTACTATTATTATATAACTGTTTTAATGTACAGAAATAATATTTATTAATGTATTAATGCCAGATGTTTCTCTTTAAATGTTTTATACATCTCAGCATAGTGTTATTGTTATTACAGTAACTGATACATTTATTTTGTATCTACAAAAGATGAATAAAAGATTAAAAGTCAACATTAGAAAACCTCTTATGAAGTCCATTTTTAATTGTTTATTATACGTCCCTCAAAAAGAAACCTTATGATACAAAACACTGTGAGTTTGGGGTTTAGTTACCAACATTTCAATTTGTTTTAGCTTGACAGCGGTTATTTTTGCAGTTAATATCTGACCCATGTTTGATAGCATTAATGCATTTACAGTCTACAATTACGACATGACCAAAACAAAATAATGAATGCATTCATTAAAATGCAGTGAGGCTCTTTCAGTAATCACTTCCACCTTTTTCTGTCCTCTCAAATCACCAGTTAAATTGCAAGCTCATTATTAATCAACTGATGCATTGATCTGGAACAAAGACTGCTTTGGAACAGATCAAGTTCAATGGTAATTTTGCTGAACTGTTGGCTGGTTGTACAGTTTTAAGTGCCTGCCTCCATCATGTGTGAATGAATAGGACCTGCAGCTGCTAATTTATGTGAATGTGTTACCAACCAATTCCCACCTTGTGAGTTGCACTGCCGGCTGAAGAAGCATCCAACTGATACTGACGGTAACATGTAATTACATTTCAGAATCAGTTATTCCTATGATTTTAAAAATTGGTTTTATTATCACAGTGGGTGGCCCTCGGGTTACAAGGAGCAGAAAGAAGCAAATAAAGTTAGGTAGTAGCCTTTTACGTACAGAAGGGTTTTTTAGAGAGGATAGGCTAGACTCACGATATTAGAAGCTTATATCAATAATTGGAGCTGGCAGGGAAGGAGGCGGTAATTCAACAGGACTCTGACGTCTTCCTACAAGTTACAGAGCCAGACCATTAAATTACAATGATTGAGTGGGCAGTTTTAGCACAATACAGACATATCTGTGTAGGTTCATATGTCAGCTGGTAAGTAACAAGAAATTGCACTGCAGTAGAGTCAAGATATGTTTGAGGTGCTGTAGAAACAGCGTTAGTATGATAGAGATTGTCCACCAGAGAGCACTGACAAGTTTATTTTTTCTAAACTGTAAAATGTCCTTCTTGACCACATTTCTTTATTAATCAAAACATTATGATCAGAAATGTTAATTTATCTTATGTGTTAAACCTACATCAGCTCATAAATGTTATAAAATTTCCTTTTATATTGGTGCCTCAAATAGCATCAGTGAGGCTCTAGACTCTACCTATTATCTTCTCATGCTCGGCTGATGTTTTTCCAGCCTTAAAGATATTATTGCTACTGTTTTCTTTAAACGAAAATCTCCCTGGTAATACCAAGTGTCACATGACAGCCCATCCCTGGTTTTTCCATCCTCTTTGCTTGCTGTTCTTCAATGAGTCCAGTAGGGGGCAGCAACGTGTCGTAACCCCCCCCGTTACAAGCTGTCATAATAAGTGCAGCAGAAGAAGAAGAGTGCCTGTGCCCCGCCCTTTGACTAACCTCGTCAGGATGTTTTATTATTTTTTTAATTTTTTGTTGTTACTGGTTTGTTTATGACGCGGCTCAACGGCTCCGTTAGCCTGACAGTTGACAAAGTGTGTGCCGTTGTAAGCGCGCGCTCCCTGGTGTCCGCTCTCGTGGGAGCCGTTGGAGAGGATAGAACGCGTCGGTTAGCATTAGGCGTTGGTCAGTCGCACGGGCAGAGTACGTTGGTTAGCCTAGCATTCTGGCTAGCGTACTGTAACGTTATGACGTGACGTTGAGCAGGAAAGTGGTTGTTTTGACGACGCCTTTTTTTTACATTTATAACGTGTATCTCAAGAAAGCGACACACACGGAAAGAAAGAGGGAGAGACGACCGCATGTGTGTAACGTTTCCGTCCGCAGGTTAGGCTTTCAGACAGCTGCCTGGCGACTAACTTTGACGAGCTAGCGAGCTAAATTCATGTTAGCATGGCGTCAGATACAAGTGACACCGAGGAATTCTATGATGCTCCCGAGGACGTGAATTTTACTCCATCTCCTAAAGTGTAAGTTTATTCATTTATGGTGTTATGTGCTGTACTGCTGCACAGGCTGCTTGTTTTGTCTCATGTGCCTTTAGTTACAAGTATCCAGCCAACTTAGTAATGGCAGCTGAAGTTAAATTAGCAGTAAATCTCATCTTTTATAGAGCTGTTTCCTCGAGTCGGTTGCACATTGAGGTTGCTGTCTAATTAGTTTTATATTTAAAGTGTTAAAACTGGTTGTAATTGTATTGTTACACGGTAGTTCGCCAGCTGTTTGGTGTTTCAGCAGCTGTTTGATGCAGGCAGGGAGAGTCTACCTCAACAAGTCACATGATGTTATTCCTGAGACCAGGTCGACAGTTTATATATATATATATATATATATATATATATATATATATATATATATATAAACATTGTTTGCTGTAACACCAGACAGATGTTACCAGCTACCTGTCATTATGGGAGATTGGAGGCTTTTGGCAGGTGGACACAATGGCTGATATCAACAGTAACCAGGAAACATTGCTATCTATTCAAAGTAATGTTAGGAAATGCAACCACGTCATGATGGATTTAAGTAAATTATACCAAGACACCAACTGTTACTCTGCCAATTGGACTTTGCTTTGTCCATTTCACATTATGGCTCGGGACTGAATGAGAATTTGTCACAATAAATATAAAATGTAGATGCCACCGAGTTAGTCACTTCATTACACATGCATTGTTAGAAATACTATAAATTGAAACCATACTTCTGGACATATCAGGTGGTTGCTCAAGTGTTGATCAAGTTATATTTAATAAACATCAGCACATCACTGTATCAAAGACCACCCTTGTATGTGTTTGCTTTTAGACTCAGGCATTTGTTAGAAACTTTATTTAATGATAGAGGAGGTATGGAAATCTGTATTTCCTTTTTGGTCATAAGAGAGTCATAATTCACACACATTAATTGAACTCCTGAAATAACAACACATTTGGTTTCAGATTGTTGGATGTTGTTGGATGTTTTTTGACCTTCACTTTCATTGCAGTTTTTTAAAAGTGCCCCTTTATGCTTTTTTAGGTCACCTGCAAAGTTTGTCCTTCCTTCGCCTCAGGTATGTTTGTCTAATGCCAGCCACTGTTGAAACAAGCCAGTATTTGCTGAGTCGCTATTGGAATGATTATTCTTGCAGAGATTTAATGTTACCAAGGCATGTAGATAAAGTGGAGGAAGCTAATACATAAGGCTGCAGAGATCAATCAAGTTTTATCACATTAGTGTCCTTTTTTTGAGTCCTTTTATTTAATGTGTTGAGATAGTTTGTTCCAATTTTTTTTTTGCCAGATAGATTACATCTGATTGTGGTTGTTATTTGGCTAAATGACTGCTAGTTATAAAAGAGAGAACTTGTCAGACTCAGACATTAATAAAGGTACCAGGAACTGAGCACTTCTAACAGTGCACAGTTGTTTGAAGTTTTTAACTGTCTAAAGGTGATTATTTAAGTGACTTCAAGGTAAGATATTAGTACCCTGTGTGAAAACATTAACACAGCCTGTTTAGTAATGAGTCATTGACTGCCAGTATTCAACCTGCGTCTTACAGTGGTAAACTTGTGCCTCCCTCCTGACAGCTTTGAAAATATAAATAAAATGGAAATGAATCATCTGGCCTTGTTGCTCTGCCCGCCCTTCCCACTCAAACAGTTACAACTGAAATTTAAATTGCTATTTTCATGAGAGATCGTCAATAAGAACTACTACAACACAATACTGAACTGATATTGGAATGGACCCAGGAGTGAACCTTGCTCACAGTTCAGCATTAACCCTTCACCTTAAATCAACAAAGGGTACTGAAAACATTGATTTTGCAGCAAAAGAAAAGTGTGTCATGTAACAGTGTTTCATGCATGGATAAAATCAGCATGAAGATCCTAGAATTAACTTTAGAGTTAGTTCTTGGTGTTCATCTTCCTATCAAGCAGTCTGCATAACAAACACAGTAATTAAAAGTTAGCTGGATGAGAGCTAAAGATTTCCCTAAGTATGGATGTATTTTATTTACCTTGTCAAGTCAAAGCTGGCTTGTGACTCCTTATTCCCTATGTGTATGTTGGTAAAACATGTTTTTTTTTTATTGTTTTCTGAACAGCTTTCACAGAGATCAGTAAATGCTGCACAAGATGTGAGCTGCGGAGTGGCCGCAGCTGAGAGCCAGCAAGATGATTCCCTACTGGTATGGTTTTCTCCATTAGTGCCCACAGTATGTCCCACACAAGATGACTGACCAAATGGAAAGAGAAAAGATCTTTGACAGAAATATTTCATCATATTCTCCGATTTGTGTTTTGTATAAGAAAGGTGTAAGTTTGTGTCTATCTCATGTCAGATGTAAGATTGAGCGAATATGTTCGACGGTATGTTTGTGGCAGTGTGTCCTTTGCCACACAGCAGGTTTTTATGTGGGTATTACTCTGTGCTAGCTGTAAGAGTTTGTTTTGTGTTAACTACTGTGAAAAGAAAGAAAGAAAAGGTAGATGTGGAGACAATAATATATTTCTTTTGTTGACATAGGAACTTGGATCATAGTTGCTGTTTTTCTAAATTAACTTAACTACTATTTTCTCTTCCTCATAGATCATTGATAGCATCATTGAGGAGAGTCAAAAGGGAAATGTTGGTGAGGTAGGGCAGCTGTTAGATCAGCTACATGTTGATGTAAGAGAAGAACCGGAGCCACAGGAAGATAATAATGCTCAGGAAGTTCCCATGGACGTACCGACGCCTGCTCTCAAGCCTCAACTTGTCGAGAGGCCGGAGGAACAACAGGAAAGTGCAGCAATGAACGGAGCATGCTCTATACCTGCCGCTGAACCCACAGATTGCCCAGGGCCATCAGTTGGACCACAAGAAGGTGTTCAGCCCCCAGACATCACCAGCACTGTAGGACAGAGTCAGCCTGATGGGGCTGTTGCAGTTGCAGAAGGGGAGCAGGAGCAGAGACCTGCAGATATATTAGACCAGATCCCATTCACAGACAGGCAGACTGACTCGGACTCCTCTGGGCCTTTGAAACCTCCACGGCAATTCACAGTGGAACCAGACATTGTAGCCAGCACCAAGAAGCCTCCTCCCTCACGCCCACCCCCTCCCAGTGGAGGTCCTCCACCAAGACCGCCTCCACCATCTTGGCAGACTCTACCTTCCAAGAAGTCTCAGGAGTGTCTGAGGCTGAGTGGACTGGAAGGTAGGGAAAACCTTGCATGCACAGTTAATGGTATTAAGGTCTTACAGCTATAGTCAACCATCATTTTATAGCTGTTCTAACAATAAACTCATACATGTAGTAACCTTTTTGTTTACAAAAGGAAAAAATGTGCTCAGTGCTACCAGAATACACACATTTCTACAAGTATGTCTTTCAAAGAATGGAAGAATAGTTTGTAGCGCCGCCATCTCTATATTTGAGCACCTTGGCAAAAAGTGTTTCCTGATGTTTATTATTAATTACAGTGGTAAACCGCCTTTGCAAAGCAAATCAAAATAGATGACCACTTGGAAGGTTCTGTTGTGTGATTGTTTAGTATCTGCGGTCTGTCCAGTCAGCGGTGATGCTCTGGAGCCCTCCGGCCTGGTGTCTCCCAGCAGCACAGTGAGGAGTCTAACCAAAGAGCTGCAGCATTCCTTGGATCTTGCCAGCGCTACCAGTGGGGACAAGGTGGTGACGGCACAGGTCAGTGAGGTTGCGGACATGACCTCTTTATCACATTCACTATATATAGTGCAGCAGTTTACTTATCTATTGCATCATTGCTTGCTTTGTTTTTTTTTTTTTAGGAAAATGAAGATGAACAGGCCTCATCTGAGAGTGGCAGCCAAACTCCAGGCCCTCAGCGTCCACGTTCCAACTCTGGTAGAGAACTGACAGATGAGGTAAGGGTCCCTTTGTGTTTGTTTTTAGTGCCTTTATTGAGCTTGAAACTAAGCCAAAGCCCAACATCTTGCACATTCCTCTTACCAACGTTACCAACTATGCACTAAATATATACTTGTGTGTTAACAGGAAATCCTAGCCAGTGTAATGATCAAGAATCTGGACACTGGGGAAGAGATCCCTCTTATCCAGGCAGAGGAGAAACTTCCTGCAGGGATTAACCCTCTCACTCTGCACATCATGAGGAGGACCAAGGAGTATATTACGTAAGCAGACATTTATTTTTACACATACATTCACTAAACATGTATAAGGATTCATTCATTTCAAATGAATGAAACAACAGGCATTTTGACGACAAAGAGATATGGTAAGTTGTGCTTTGTCTAGTATTACAATATAGTTTACAAACAAAAAGTCAAAGGTTGAAAGACTACACTGAATCGAGACACCTGACCATGCAATTAAGCTTCCAGGAAAAAGTTTTTTCCTGGCAAGGGAATAGGCTTGTTTCTGTGGGCAGTATTGCCAGTGCTGACAGTATTGTAATTGTTATTACAGTATTCTCAGAGTTTGCATATGCACACTTGCAACATTTCCCCACTTTTTTAAAGCCCAATCATGTAAAAACAATTTGTACATTTTCTAGAGGAAGTTGATCTGTTTTTATTTTTTTCCTCTCAGGAACGATGCAGCGCAGTCAGATGATGATGACAAGTCTCAGACTCCACTGGCAGACACAGATGGAGGAAAACTGAAGCAGAAAACGTAAGTATTAGTGAGTTATTGTAGCCTGTTGCTGTCCTGTTTTCACCACGATCAAATATAGAATATAACAACTTGTTGTCCCCTTTTCTTTCTAATTAGAACTCAGTTTAAAAAATTCCTGGGCAAGTCTGTGAAGAAAGCCAAGCATCTCGCTGAGGAGTATGGAGAGAAGGCAGTTAACAAAGTGAAGAGTGTGCGTGATGAAGGTAAAAGGACACAACAATATGAAGTCGTTGTTCAGATGGTTAGATTTTACAGTACATTGTGGGTTTCTGTTATATTTTATGCTCTTCCTAGAACAGTGTATATTACCTGATAGAGTGGTTAGTTCCTTTTGATAAGTGGAAGCACAGGAAGATGCAGAGCACATTTTAAATGGATGTGGTGTTGAGGATATTACAAGACAAATAGCTGAATTCTAACTATAAATGGCAGCAGTAAAATGAATGCACTACTGAATCCTTAAAACCCATAAATCAATAGCATCAAAGATATTTTATTTTCCTTTCCCGTGTATCTACATGGATTATGTGGATGTTTATTTTGCTATGAAAGCTCAAGACAAATTTTGTTTTGATGAGCTCTGTCATGTTTTTTGTTTTGGGTGAGCTCAGTTTTCCATACAGATCAGGATGATCCATCATCAAGTGACGATGAAGGCATGCCCTACACCAGGCCTGCCAAGTTCAAGGCAGCACACAGCTTCAAGGGTCCCTTTGACTTTGATCAGATTAAGGTTGTGCAAGACCTGAGCGGAGAGCACATGGTAAGAGGATCTGTTATTTATTTTTTTTATTAATGTTTAAGAGAAGATGTGCACCATTAAATGTCACAACATCTTTTTCCCTAGGGGGCTGTTTGGACGATGAAGTTCTCTCACTGTGGCAGGCTGCTGGCAACTGCAGGCCAAGATAATGTGGTTCGCATCTGGGTCTTAAAGACTGCCTTTGACTACTTCAATAACATGAGATTAAAATACAACACTGAAGGTAGCCTCATCAGCATAGCAGATTTTTTTCTTGCATGATGATTGATTATTTGAATTAGTTTTTTTAATGATTGTTTTGTCTTCTCCAGGTCGAGTTTCACCTTCTCCTTCTCAGGAAAGTTTATGCTCCTCTAAATCTGACGATCCTGGGGTGAGTGAAAATAATAACACCCGATGTTTCAAATTCAAAAATATCTAAAAATATTACTATTTTTGTGATGGTGTGAGTATTGCAATGTTGTATATTTTCCAGTCTTGAGACTTCAACAGATTGTACTCTCACCCTAGGCAAGTTGTGTACCAGAGGACCCAGAGACAGAAGATAGGAATGCCCCTTTCCGTCAAGTCCCCTTCTGCAAGTATAAAGGTCATACAGCTGATCTGTTGGACTTGTCCTGGTCAAAGGTGATGTCCTACTGCCCTCTCTTTATCCTTTTTATCCCTCCTCTTTACACATTTTAGACTCTCAGTACCAGTTTTCTACCTCCTCTCATTTTTCCATTTTTGTGTCAATCTAGAACTTTTTCCTACTCTCCTCTTCCATGGACAAAACAGTCAGATTGTGGCACATATCCAGGAGAGAGTGCCTCTGCTGCTTTCAGCACATTGATTTCGTCACAGCCATTGCTTTCCATCCCAGAGTAAGTTGAGTCACCTTGCAGTACTTCTCTCAGCACAAATCACACTTCTATTAGCTTGGTTCGCAGACTGTATTTATAGTAACACTTGCTTCTTGTTTCCCAGGATGACAGATACTTTTTAAGTGGCTCTCTGGATGGAAAGCTACGGCTCTGGAACATTCCAGACAAGAAAGTGGCGCTGTGGAATGAGGTGGATGGCCAAACGCGCCTTATCACTGCAGCTAACTTCTGCCAAAATGGGAAGTATGCCGTCATCGGCACCTACGATGGCCGATGCATCTTCTATGACACAGAGGTACCCAGCCTGGCTACTTTCCCCCCCTGCTAATACATGATTTCATTATGTCCTTATTATCAATTAATCAGTTATTTTAGTGTGACGGTATTAATTTCATTGTGAACCACGTCTATTTTTGTACATTGTTAGCGTCTGAAATACCACACCCAAATTCATGTGAGGTCCACCAGAGGCAGGAACAAAGTTGGACGCAAAATCACCGGCATTGAGCCTCTTCCTGGAGAGAATAAGGTAACATCTAATCTCCACTACAAATACACTGCAGTATGTTTCATACCCCCATAATGAAGCATGACAGTCAGACTGGTTAAGTAACAAATTCCCACTTTCTTGCCCCCAATAGATTTTGGTGACCTCGAATGATTCCCGCATTCGCCTTTATGATCTGAGGGACTTGTCTTTATCCATGAAATACAAAGGTTATGTCAACAGCAGCAGCCAGATCAAGGCGAGCTTCAGGTGAGGATTTCATGTAGTTTTCACTTCAGTATTTTCAAGTAGCATTACTAACAACTGCGTGACAAATCCTTCTCCATCAACTGCTTCTCATGCAGTTTTCTTTGTCAGTTCCACTATTTAACAACCCAGACACCACTAAGCACAAAAAGTGCTTAACGTTTTTTTAATTGTTATTGTTGCACTGCACCTTGAATGCAGAAACTGACTTAATGTGGGATTCTCTTCCTGCAGTCATGACTACTCCTTCATAGTCAGTGGCTCAGAGGATAAGTATGTGTACATCTGGAGCACTTACCACGACTTGAGCAAATTCACATCCGTACGAAGGGACCGCAATGACTTCTGGGAAGGAATTAAAGGTAGCTGTGCGTTAGATGACAAACATAATTCTACTGTATCTATCTGTCTAATTAATTTGTTTGTGGTTGATTGAGCTGATGCTAAAGCTTTTCTTATCTTTCAGCACACAATGCAGTGGTCACCTCAGCAATTTTTGCACCCCATCCCGGCCTTATTGTTCCACAAGAAATTGGAGCAGAGAAACCAGAAGCAGAGTGTAAGAGCCTGGACTCGACAGACTCTGAAACGATACCCTCAGGTATGTTGAATTATTGTATGGACAGATTTCATGGCGTCAAGCCTGTCATTTCAGTGCTATAAAACAGTGTTGTCCTTTCACAGGAGCCCTTAAGACAGATCACACAGAGGTTCTACTTTCTGCTGACTTCACTGGAGCCATCAAGGTTTTCATCAATGTAAAAAAGTACTGAGCACTTCAGAGGTTGTCAGCGCCTCACATTCAGGCCTGCCTGTCGGAGATCAGTCCTAAAGACGAAGGACAGCCCGTCAGGGGCCAGCTTACATCGCCCAACTACCTAATGACTAATGCTCTGAGACGAAGAGCCGTCTGTAGCTTTCTCGGGAGAACAGGCACCCTAAAATGGAAGATGAGGGAATGGGTGGAAGAACTGTACAAAACAGACAAGGTGTGATTCCCTGTCACATTTCTATTTTTTATCTTTAATACCAAGCAACTGTGAACGGTTTGGCATTAAGAAAAAAGAGCCGGAAATGCCAAGTGTGTTCGGTTTGAGCAGAAACTAAGTCTGTTCAGATACATGTGTAAATTTACAGCTGTATGGTCATGGCTGAGTATAGCTAGGAGGCTATTTGTAACTGTATGGGCACCTTACTAGTTTCTTTCGCTCCCACATTTCAGAAATTAAGTTAACTGCTAAAAAGTGCAAGACACTGTCCTAATGTCAGTCACAAATTTTAATGTGTCATGTGTTAAGAGATGTAACCATTTGTCTTGAAAGCAAGGTGGTTTGAAATGTTATTTACAAATTATTTATGTTTACCAAATCTAGATCGCTTTTCTAAATTCAACTTCTGAAGCTTTCCTCTAAAGTATATCAAACATGTCAGTGGATGACAGCAAATCCACGGTGCAGGAAATCTGTATACAGTTACTAATGATTAGGGCTGGGTATCATAAATTTTTTCAGAAACAATAATGGCTTTTAAGTACTTTTGATAAATTGTTTTGTTCAATGAAAGCACATTTCATTATATGAAATAGTACTGTAAATTTAGTGTGTAACATTGCATACTTACTGCTTTTGTAAACAGAACCAAACGATGCTCTATTAATTTCCTCAATAAAAATTCCCACAAACTTGAATGCTTGTTGCTAACATTTTTTAACCTTAATAAAAAAAAAAAAACAATACCAACATTTCAGTAAAGTAAGAGTAAAAAGACCTTGATACCTGGCCCTACCAATCACATCCTCCACACACACATTCATCACCAACAGTGATTTATTTAGTGTCAGAACTTTGCAGCAACATTTCTGGTTATCATTTTAAAAACAAACATTAAAACAAAAATATATATAATTAGTTACAGTGTTCAAACTTTATCATACAAAAGAGTGCTGAATCTTGCATGAGTAGTGTAAGTTGGGACCAAGAGAAACAGACCTGTCAGTCTGTTTAAAGGGTATGTGTAACCCATGGACACTGGCAGGCTAGTAGATGACAAAGCCCAGAGTTGAGCATCAATGTTTGCTCTTCTTCGTCTTCTTGTGGGAGCGATGCGGTGACCGGGACCTGGACTTCCCTGCCTTCCGGTCTGGAGATGGTGATTGGGAACGTTTGGACCATTTGGGAGATCTTGTCCTGTTAAATGGGCAGAACGTATGACGACAGATTGATGTCAAGAATAACAATCAGGATCAATGCACTGGTACACTGGAAAAACATCTCATGTCACTTGCTTTAAGGGAGAGATGCTCCTTGATTTTCGAGTCTGGTCATCAGGATCTCGACTCCACGGTCGTCGTCTGACCCCGTCTTCACTTCTTTTGCTCCTTTCTTTGTCCCTTCTGTCATCCTTTGACTTGTCTTTAGACTTTGATGTCAATGTCTCGTTCTTTTCTTCATCTTTTACAAACTCCTATAGTGGATAGGGTAAAACATCCCAATGAAGTCAGATGTAGGCTTCTATGTGTTTGCCTGGCTTGTAACTCACAAACCCCCACATTCACACCTAATAGCTTGCAGGTTCTCCACAAGGGGGAGCTGTTCAACACTTGCTATACCTTTCCACCTACTGTAATGGAAAAATAATAGTATTTCAGACCTGCAGATGTAAGTATATAAAGGTTGACACCTACAAGCAGACAAAGTTGTTTGGTTGTTTTTTTTAACACATGCTGTTTTCTGTGTGTTGCCAAAAATGCAGCATCTTAATTCATTCAGTGAAACCACTGTATTGGCACAGTACAGTATACAAGTACTCCAAACTAACAATGAGTAAAGAACACTTGATAATGCTTGGAGCGGTGTAAACTGTTTTGAACAGAGACGATGCTCCAGTAAACAAAACATCAATTTTGCATGTTTTACTTGTGAAATACACAACACACAAACAGAAACCAAAAAAACTGTAGCTACACTTTCCTTCCCCGCAGAATGGTGCACTTTGGACTAAATCTCCAGATCTGGAGTTGTTCGTTCTGTGGCTCTGCAGTCGCACATTGGCTGTGTCTGCTTTTGAGTGCTTTGCATCAGTATCACTGTTTTTTTTTACTCTGCCAATTGACTAATTTCATAGTCTAACTTTAATGTACTAATAACAAGCACTTTTGTACATTTTGCTCCATACTGTTCGTGATTAAAGAAATATTTCTGGTAAATGAAAGTGATGGTTGCATTTTTGCTTTAGAGACCCCCCCTCACTGCAGAACAAATACTTATCTCTGGGTAAAATTAAACATGCAATATGAAATAAAAGGTACACTAATAAAAGAACTGTGCAGCAGCCTACCTTCTGTAGCAGTTTGTTCCTGTAGTGCTCCACTTGTTGTTGTATGCTCATTCCAGAATTCCTCGGCCTCTTGCCAGATTCCAACTCATCTTGGATCTGAACAACTTTTACCTGTGTCAGACAAATCTAATCAGTTCTGCATACTTATCAACAAACTACCATAGGGAGGCAGCTACCAATAGAATCAAATGGAAATGTAAGAGAATTAGAATATGCCAATGGAGCTAAAGCTCTAACTTTTCTTTTCAACAACTGGTGATAAATAAAACTCAAAAGGTTCGGTTGAGTTGAGCCACGCCTGCTCGATCACCCGGAGATCGTAGCGCAATGCATGCTGGTTAGATTTGTGTCCGACGTCATGCCTACGTGGGCAATGATAATCTCGAGAAGATCGAGGCAGCTGCAGTTTGGAGAGCCACGAACCGCAAGACCGCGAGGCATGAGGGGAAACGTCGGGCCGTAGCCTGATCAAAGAGCTGATAGGCTCTTAGTTTTGACAACAAACGCCACACAATTTTCTGTGTGATTTTAATATTTGGCTGGACATTGTAAGCTGTTTCATGTCTCATGTTGTGCAATGAAGATTCCATCCGTTAACAAACAGATCTTGTGTGGTTGATAATAATAACAATGTTTATTTATATATTTCTGTGACCTGTATATTCTTTGAAGGCTGCCGGAAACTGTCCCAACTTCACAGCAGCTATTTGTCACTGCCTCCAGCTGCTGCTGCCTGATCTCATCCACTTTCCAGGTGAGGCGCAGTTCATCTTGAACGAGCCCTACATTTCAATAGTATCTTCCATCCTTAATTAAATACGGTACATTTATTCAGGATATTGAGGTGGACATGGTGTGATGTGTGACTTTCGAAAGTGGATAGGTTGAATTGCAGCAAATAATACAGGAAGGCAACTTTGTTTCTATAAAAGCAAACACTGTTTTCAGCTAATCTTATCAATTTACAAAAGAAATGCACTTGCCTCCAGCTCTCTCAACCTTTTCCTTTTGCTCTCAGACATTTGAAAACTTCTGAGGGAGCTCTGGAAGTCTGCACTGTCATATTTGGACAAACTGCAGGAGTCATCACTGCTGTCGCTCTCTGAGTCCTCTTCTCCAACCTTTGAGTTGACACTGGGGAGGGGGAAGAGTACAACAATAAATCTCCAAACCATTTGACTGGTTATGTGTCCTGTGTTTCACAAATGTAGACAGATGATGCACTGATACCAACCGCAGAGGCCTTACCTTACATTCACTCCATCTTTGCGGTCTTGCTCCACCACCATGTCCCACTTCGACTCAGTCTTGGCTTAGACAGAAAGGAGAAAGATTAGCGGGATCGTAAGGGGGAGGATTGATATGATACAGAGGGGATCTTTACCTGTGTTACCTTGAGAATAAGTGCCAGTATCACCCGTCTTCTCCCACTTAGACAAAGGCACTCTGGAGAGAGGAATATTGCTCTCATCCACTAAAGAACAAAAGAGAAAGCTAGGTCAGGACAAGGACCAGGATTATGGTTTATGTTTGATACTTAATGATGTTTTTTTTTTTTTATTAATCCCTGTAGGGACAATTCTGTATTTGCATGCCATGTTCTCATGGAGATCAGAGTACACACTCAGCTGACAACCCGTGAGGGGGTGGATCAGTGTATTGATCTAAGACACTTGAGTTGGGCTGATAATCGACAACAAGAACGGGAAATTGTGGTATTCTGGTTGAAGGATGCTCTTTTCGATATGTGGTGGACTCACAGGGCATTCCGTCAATGTCATCAATGGCGACTCCTAAGGGAACACCGTCTATGTCGTCAACACAGACTCCATCCAGAGGGTCCCAGCCCAAGGGGCAGCCGTCGAGGTCATCTACAGGAGCTCTGTCCAAAGGTAACGCACCTACAGATGTGCTGTCCATTGGTGCACCATCAAGATCAGAGGATACTTCCTGGAAAGAGACAGACACACAAACATTTGAATCATCTTCATGTTTAAAGATTCTGCAACAAGAACAGCTGTCCAATTTGTTGAAATTCCGTTTAGAAAAGAGGTAACAGTGTCCATAATGAGCAGGCACATTTTCAGCTTACCTTCGCCGTCTCGGTCAGCTCCTCCACTGCTTTGGTAAAGCCCAGAAAGATGTTTTGAAGGTGGATTAGATAAGGCTCCGGGTATATGGCCCAGTCTTCCCATGCTCTAAAACAACTCATGACCTTTTGCTGTGGAGATGGGAGATGAAAATGTTCTTTTGTTGCTCTATTTTTAGTAAATGTCCTGGCGTGAGGCAAATAAAAGACTTCATTACCTTGAACTGTTCAGCCTGCAGCCTGGCTTGTATGTTTTTGTGTGCCGCGTTAAGGTCTCCAAATATCTGCGTCAGCTTTGTTTCAAAACTGAAAAGACGGAGACAGATTGTCAGATGGAGAAGAAATAGAAAAGGGATACAAGTGTGCATATTTTCTTTTTCAGACAGAAAAGGAGGAGAGAGAGGGGATGACATGCATTAAAGGGCCACAGGTTAGATCCAAACCATGGCCACTGCAGCAAGGACCCAACCTCGGTACATGGGGTGCCAGCTCCACCAGGTGAGCTATCAGGGTCTTACAGCTAAAAATTGAGGGAAAGACTTACTATTTACGGTAATATGATGCACCGGCTACTTTGGCACATGAGTTGTGCAAGATGTCTGACACAAGATACAGCCTGGCAATCTGTGGGAATGAGGACAAACAAAGTAAAATGTGATGTGAGTGAAAACACTTCTCTTTATATCTAAATTCTGTGTAACTTTGTTTATATAAATATTTAAAGGAAGCAAACTAGCCTTCTTCTGAAGGGGTGTCTGAAGCAAGGAAAAAGATTCTGTGATGTGTCCCACTACTTCCTCTGCTGCATCCGCTCGCTCGAGACAGAACAGCATGGTATTGGCAATATCTTCTCTGCTTGGGGTGAGCTCTTTAAGCAGTGTCTCCAGCCTCTGTCTGTGCCTGAAGGGGATTTAAAGAAGAACAACAGAGGTCAACATTCAGTTCAACTTCCATTACAAACATAAATGTCATCATGCCTGACACGCATACTTACTCAGCTCTGAGCTGCCCTTTCTTCACCTCCTCCTCAGGGGGAGCATCCTCCTCCACCTCTGCACTATCCTCACCCCTCTGAGAGTAGTCGTTTAGGACAGGGGGTCTCCATACGGAACCCCCCCGGAACATGCGGAAATCTGTGGTCCTCCACTCTGTCGGGGACTCTCCCTGTGGTGAAAATGAAGGCCAAGGACATAGAAACTTAAATACAGATACACCACAGTTAAAGCATCGATGAGACCCATAAAATGAGATTATCAAGTAAATGATTAGTACAGAACAGTTTAGTTCCTCCAGATACACTCCTGCAGTAAAAACTTACCTGGAGGATGGAGAACAGTTTCCAGCGATAGTATACGTGATCTTGGCTTTTGTTGTCAAAAAGGAACCTGAGACAATGAAGAAAGAGCAGATTAAACATGTACCCTACAAGGTCAACTATGAGACCAACACATGTCCAGGTACAGCAATACTGACCTGTAATCTGGATTGTTTTTCTCCTTGTTCATAATTACAGCTTCAAACACGTGGCCTTCACGCACCACAAACTCTATCATCCTGTGAATAAGGAATAATAGATTCCTGTGGGGAAAGAAGAGTGGATCAGACCAGGGTTTGTGTCAAAATTCTGCCTGTCAATTACATTTAGATTTACATTTACTAGTGGCCCATGCAAACGGCAGGCTGACTGCTAACAGTGTAAATTCATGTCTTAGAATTCGCTATTTCAAAAATGTAAAGACATGTACAAAATGTTACCGTCACTGTGGGACAGACACTATCAGCATATTTTAATATTCCAGTGTGTCCATGAAAGGGGTAAAACAAATCACACAAATCACAATATCTATTCATGAACACTGACTTAGGTTTTAAGAACTGAAAGCCCCAATACAAAGTTTACATTTAGCCATTTTTTCTAATAAAAAGATTGGTCTCAACTACAAAATTCATACATGGTCTGTATTTAGTTTTACAAATGCATTTTTCTTTCAGATGTAAAGTTCTCAAAATGTATACTTTCAGACAATAAAACAACATATTTAACTCATAATGAGTCAGCATCAGCATGACAGGATTTTTGCAGGACAAGCTATATGGAGTAGTTACTGTGGATTGGGGCTTCAGGCCTGAACAGTACAGTATGTTCATGCAGTGTTGCTGATTTTGTGTCAGAACTACCACTGCAGTTAGACTTTCATATTACTTACGCTACTCTAACCTGAAGCAGTACCTAGTTTGATTTATGGCACTAGCATGAATCTACTTCTGGCATCGTCTGACATGGGTTAAAATTAAATCTATCTGCCTTCTAGCTGTATCGGTCTGCAGTGTCTCAGCCAACCCATTGGAAACCCAGGGCTCAAAGACGCTGGTATAATGGCTCCAATGGTCATTTACAAAGGCTACAGCTATTCACAATAACACACATCATTTTTATTATTATTATGATGATGGGAACAACATGAATTATCTGAGGGGTTTGAGCAAACTAGAAGGAGAAAATACAAGTGTCAACAAAAAGTACAAATTACATTCACTGCATGTAAGTCTGAGGCCATGGGGACCTTTGACATCTACAATAAGAGTCCTCAGTCCTACACTGCAGATGTCAAAATGTCCACTAATGATGGCAAGTGTTGCAACACTCCAAACTACAGTTTTGGGTTGTTAACCATGTCCTATGTGTCAAATGCATTAATAGCTCTTAGGACTGGAACTTCCTGCATAAAATAATCAGTATGGACACAAGAACAGTGCACCACAGCTTCTGTCCCATAACACTTGGTCAGTGGTAGAAAGAAGAGTGTGTGTACCTTTCGGTTGGGATAACCACTTTGACTACGGCTTCGGACAGAGTCTGTTTGTGAAGTCAAATCAAATAGTGAAAATATTAAAAAGTGAGCACTTGTACAGATGAAACACTGCAGGATACATACAGCATAGAAAACGACGATAGCATTCACAGTCGGTGAAAATGGCGGGAGAGTGACACAGCTTTACTACTCCAGTACATTATTCTAAAATGCTAAACCATCTATACAACAAGCCAATCACAAAAGATTCAAAGCTACAAGTTTATATTAACATTTTGTATACACAGTCCAACTGTGCATTGCCACACCCTTGCATCCTGTAATATGGCACTTGCATGGACACAATGGTCAGTTAAATGAATGAACAAACGTGCAACAGAAATATAACATCCACTTTTCACAATGGCTGATGACATATTACAGTTTTGCTTCTTAGACATGGATTTATTCTCATCCAGCTGCAGTTGGAAATTTGTTTTTTTAATTAAAGATAAATTCAGAATTTTTAGTTTGTGCATTTTTCTGAAGTGGAAAGCTACTTCTTATACAAGTATATAGGAAAACCTTCTCTAAAGGCTCATGTTTCCTTCATTTTCACATTCTTGCACAGACTGTAACTCCTGTTCTACCAACGCCATCATCCCCAATGCAGTTAACACCCATTACTCATCACCTAAATATGAGAGCCTATCTGTGCCAAGTCAAACTCCACATTGCAGAGAAATAATGGTCATGCAGGTACTCCAGAGAACAGAGACACTTTTACCTTGTCAAGATCCCCTTTGGACATGCCCAGCGGCTTGGTGAAGTCATTGCGGAAGCGATCCCTAGGCTGAGCATTGAAAGGCAGACCAGATGGGGGTGGCGGTGTGGCCCTCACCCCCACTGGTGTGTAGAGAGGCTGAGGTGGAATGCGAGCTGGTTTACCCCATCCCAGCTTCATTTCAAACCCCATAATCACTTTACCTACAATTAAAAAACACATAAAACAAAAGGAATGGGAGGAAGACTATTAGATAAACCTTCTACTGCCACCGGTAAATCAAACCGATTTTTAAAGATTCAACTGTACCATCAAGTGCAGCCAAGGCTCTCTCTGCATCTTTCCGTGTCATGAAAGCCACAAAGGCTCTGTTGGAGGTCCTGCAGCGCTCCTCGTCTGTTCGGGGCCACATGATCTTCACACTGGCCAGGGGACCATACTTACCAAACTCTTTGCAAAGCATTTCCTCGTTCATCTGAAAAATGATACAAATGAAGAGTGAGTAATGTACGTCTATGTTGTGCTGAGCCAATCAAAGTCAGAGTGCACCTTTACCTTTGGGCTAATGCAGCTAATGTAGAGGTTAGTGGTGGTTGGCACTGTTAGGTCATCATATAATGCTGTCAGGAAAAACAGGATTGAAGTTAGCATGATTTAGGTGTTAGCAATTTTCGACTAATATTATTATTATTTTAAGAGGGACTCTTACTTAGATGACCTAGAGGGACTCTTACTTGATCGTCCTGACAATGGTATGTCCAGATCTCCATATCCTCCTCCTCCCCCTCCTCCTGTTCCTCCTCCTACGCCCGGGTCATTTTTCTTCCTTTTATGTCTTTCCTCACGCTCTTCTTGTATTCTGCATTTTTTTTAAACATAAAAATAGGCTTACGTAAGCCACAAAGATATCAACGGATTAAACTGAAACATGGTATCAGGCACATTTGCAAAAAGACTTACAGCTTTAGTTCTTCTTTAAAGAGCTCGAGGTTACTCTTTTTCTTTTCTTCAGTCTTTCTTTTAAATGTCTGTTGATAAAACAGGAAACAATTGTGGTTATTGCATTATTGCTATATGTGACTGATTGTACAACTGCACTGACCAAATTGAGAGATCATGAGCGACATTTAAAGATACGTGTAACTAGTGAGGTGCCATATATACTGTATTTCAGTGATTATAACATTACATCAGAGGACAAACTTACTGCTTTTTTGCTTTCAGCAGATGACACTGGTGAGACGTGCTGGGGCACGGGGACAAACTTCGTACCAGGTCGATACAGCTTACTTTTCTTGACCTCTGCTTCATCCTCTGAAAAAAAGTATAGCAATCCCTGAACACTGAATATCCAACAATGCATTAGGTAACAGTAATTTAGGTCTGTAAAAACAGGAGGAGGGCCACTGTTCCTTTGTTGGTCAGAAGGATATGAACAGCTTCCTGTAGAATAAGGCAGACAGATGGACTGTGGTTTCTTGCTGCTGTGTTTGCAGTTAATATTTAAATTAAAGGGATTATGTGTAACAGTAAGTTGAAGAACTCCTCAGTATTGGACAAGCTTTGTTTCTTTAATTAAAAGTGATAATGGACTGCTGACTATGGGTCCCCCAGAGTGGATGAATTTTATTAAACCATTCAAAAGATACGGGCCCTGTAAAAACTATTCCGCTGCTGAGTCAGCTCAATATTCTTTAATAATTATATTCTCTTAAGAGTTCCAGGTATTTCAGATTAACATTACTGGAGCAGATAATAACTCACGGTTCATCTTTTTGTTCATACATGCCGTTTAGCCGCATCCAATCATAACGCTAGATAAAGTCCGGCTGCTGACCTTTAGATGCATTTACGATACCCCCACGGACAAAAGTTTTCACTCCGCCTTTCTCACTGGTCTCGAATGACGCCAAGAATTCTTCAAAAACCTCTGCTGCTTTTTCTTCCTCCTAGAAGCAAGACACACACAAGGAAACATGCACAGTATATGTATTATATCCCTTCCCTCACTTCACTGCTGATCAAATACAATATTTTCAGATCATAAATGGGTTACTAATATGCATTTATTTCACCATCTTTGTTTTTATTGGGAAACAAATCCAATATCATAACTTCTATAACCTCCATACCTTTTTCTTGAGCTCCTCTTGTTCTTTCTTCGTAAGTGTTTTAATTGGAGTGGCAGGTTTTCCCTTTCTGTCTGCCATACTCAAACTGCAAATGAATAAATAAAACAGGAATGGAAAGGTTACTGTCAAAATGCCAAATGTGTACAAATCAATTTAGTAATTTATTGTTTAACATAAAAAAGGACGAGAGTGGCATCAATCTATGACGATTATCTCCTTACTTTTACCATTTTCCCTTAAGCTGTTTTTCTACTGTATAAATCCAATTATATGCATCTTTGTCTCAAATATGTCTGACACCCTTGATGTTATGTGTACAAACTGTGCATTACTTTCAGGGTCACTGGCCGAGAATAAACAGTAAGACACCTCCCTGGTCCCCTGGGGGACAGACAGGGCCCACAGCAGACGTACACTGGAGGGCAAAACAGCACAAATCTGTGTTTTCTGTTGTGTCATTTTACTTTAATTTGTATCATTTATGACACCCCTTCTTTGGTCAGAGAATACATACAAACAGTGTGTGAGTGAAACAAACAGAAGGAGCTGCCACAACTGAGAGTTTGCACATTTGAACAACACAAACCAGAATCGAATACTATTTATACCCCACATGCATTACAGATTGCTACAAAAAAAACAGCAACATAATAATCAGAGGGGATGCAAACTTGGGATGTCAAACACTCATAATAAGTTGGCTACAACAACCAGGCAGATTAACTCCATTACCTAGTGTAATGTGGCTGAATTTGATAATACCAAATACCCTGTATGTCCTCTGCTGCAGAGGTTGTTTTAGTCAGCATGGAGCACAGACGGTGTTTAAAAGGCCTGGACTAAATATAAGCTATCACTCCACTATGCTAACGTTAGCTAACAGTAATGTTTAGCTTAGCTGGGACTCAAGTGAGATGGTCAAGCTAACCCAGCGTTAACCTTTTAGAGCAAGCAAATGCTGAATACAGCTCGTATATGTCCATAATCCCGATAATCCCCCGACTCATACATCCCTTTCTAATCGCTATCATCTGCTACCTCTGGTATATCACACAGTGCATTCAATCCTCTGAGCTAGCTAACATAACAGTCTCATATTTTCTTCCAGCAACAAGCACCGACTAACCTCACCGGAGGAGGCTATTAAACCACACGGACATGCACACACACACACACATACACACACACACACACATACATACATACATACACACACACACACACACACACACATATATATATATATATAGCTTCATGGCTAAAGCTGAAACTGTAACTTACAACGTGTGTCATCTCTATTGCTTCACCATTTTGGTTGCGACGACAACTTCATTTCTATCACAACATGCTATCGAGAGGCGAGATATCCGACTGGAGCTGCGGAGCGGGGACGCCTCCTGCTCGGTCTGCACGGTGACACACACAGTCCGCCTCGGTGGTCTGCCTCTGTGCGGCTCTCATTCAGGAAGGAGGCTCACAATAGTGGACATTTCACTGATTTGGTGAAGTAAAAAGTCTTCATGTGTGTTTACTGCTGCAGTTAATAGACTGCTTCTTCCTGATGTTTCCATGTCACGTTTCCATGGTCACGTATTGCAGGATACATCAGCCCCAAAGCTTGTGTCACCTTTTCTGTTGTTTTTTGTAGGGTTAAATATATATTTTAGGACAGAGAATAGCATTCATTATTTTTAAAAAGTCCCTTTAAATTTTACCCACATTCCTCAAATTATCCTCTTGATTATTATTATTATTATTTTACAGAAACAGTTTGAACACAATGTAATATCAACCATAACAAATCTGATTTCATCATTTGTTTGCATGAATATTACATGTTTCATTATATACTAGACAAAACAGTGTAGATATTTTTCCTTCCTGGTTTCCGTGAACTACAGTTCATATGTTGCCATTCAGAAATAATAATATTAACTATGAAGCATGAAATATATTTCATTAATCTTTCACATACACTTTGCAGTGCTAAAATAATCTGATACAGAGCACTAAAAAGAAGTGTCACTGTAGGGTAGGCCTATATTTGTGTCCATTACATAAGATATGGAACTTTATTTATCCTGGGGGGAAAAGGGGCAAGTTCAAAAATATCAGTGAACAGATATCTAAAATATACACAATGCCTAACAATATAAACAAGGTTTTAAGGTGGCTTCTTGGTAAGGTGCAAATAGATATGTATAAGAAGTGGCATACAGCCAGGGTTGGGAGGGTTACTTTGAAAATGTGATACAATACACTTACTAATTACCTGTTAAAAATGTAGTCAGTACCCTAATCCAAGTATCACAATATTAAAGTAACGTTACTTGTTTAACTTCCCTTACGTTTGGATTACCTCAACACCAAATATGCAAAAAAAGACAAGAGAAAATAAATATTAATAAGATGTTTTGATGTAAGACGATAGAACAATGTAACCTTTGAAAATAAATCAAAAGTGTGTTGCTCAGTGTACGTTTAAAGAAAAACTGATCCTTCTAATAATCCCTATTTCTACTAAATGTAACTGTAATCTGACTACACCTTTTTTTTACTTTCTTTTGTATTCTGATTATGTAACTCAGTTACATGTAATCCATTACTGCCCAAGCCTGCACATAGCTCTGAATGTCCAATATGAAATCTCAAGTACTGTCAGTGTATTTGGTTAATTAAAAATGTTCAATGATTAATAATATTATATAGTAATGCTCCATTATTGCTCATTATATCTCATTATGTCCCGTAAGTCAGAAAGTTTTGACTGTAAAAAACACCAACAAAAATCATCAGTGGGTCAATCTAAGAGTGATTTATTTGCTGGTAGAAAGAAAAAAGGATAACATATTTTTGACTAATCAAGTTAAAGGTGTTGGAAACAATGGGACATGGAGGAAGTCAAGGCTAGAGAAAAATGTATTTTCATCTTTGAAGTTATCTTTTAATCACCATATAAGGCTGATCAGAGGGGCAGTGGGGTCAGTGTGTTTGGGACAACCAGAAGACAAATAGGGGCTGACATGAGGACCATTTGGGCAGATAAGACACGCTTGAGCTGACGGGAGGGGCATAAAATGCTACCATTTGGACCCAGACATATCTTGCTTATTTTGCTCATAGCTTCCACTCTTCAGTCTACCAGTAGCTACTCCCTAACCAGGACCCACATTAGGCAGGAGAGGATAAACCACAATCAAGGAACAATAGTAGGCCATAGGCTACATATGGTTTATAAAATAATCTCCTATATCATAACATTGTCATGTTATGAATCATCATGTTATGAATCGTATTCAGAAGGATATAGCAGTACATTACACACAGCATTGTCTGAATATCTGATATTGTTTTGATCACAGTGATTAAGCAGAATTTGTCAGTAACCCTCCACTGCCCTCCAGGCATTGAGGGCCAGATTTGAGGAAATCTGATTATTAGACTGCATGAAGGGCCCTTGCCTCCTGTCTGCTCCCAGCAGGGGCCCTGCTAGGAGTTTGGTATGAGCAGGTGGAGGAAGGGTAAAAGCCTAAAATGGCCACCATACCCTACTCAACATCACCATCACTTGCAGCAGCAGCAGCAGCAGTACCACCTCAGAAGCCCATCCCCTAGCGTCCGTCCAGGGTATGTACCCTGTATGCGCATGGGCGGAGAGACTGCCGCTGTGCGCTGATATTATTGTAAGAGTAATTTCTTTTTTACGAAAATGGCGTCTAGTCAGGGAGGTGTGGGAGCTGTAACGGCTCTACAAAGCCATCACTACTCTAGCGGACCTCACTGGAGCCCGGGTATCAGCCAGTACCAGCACCAGCAGCAGCACCACACGGCCCGCAGCCTGGACCGGGCTCTGGAGGATGCCGTGTGCTCGGGGCTACTGAACCTGAGCGGTAGGAAGCTGAGGGAGTACCCGGGGATGAGCTACGATCTGACCGATACAACACAAGCAGGTGGGTTGCTGTGTTGCGTGCATGGACTTACAGGAAAAACCACGAGAGTCAGTGCGCTTAATGTAGAAATGCGCTCACGGATTTACGCGTTATTAAGCGCAGCAGCATGCCCGTGTTGTGCGTGGATTTTTGTCTGGGTTTCTGGATAGAGGCGCATTAACGTGGATGTGACAATATTTAAAGGGGTATTGCGTCCACTGGGCTGGCTTCTGTAAATTCACATATACACCCTGGTTGTAATCACTGTCCACTCGGGCTCATATATCACTCCGGTTTACTGCACAAGGGGCTCGGCTGCCGTTCGTGTGGTTGTTTTGGTCGACGCCAACAGCTTTTTATTGCCCCCCCCTTGAGGCACATGAATGAGACGGCAGGCGCACCCAAGTCAGGCGCTGTGCAGTGGTTTGTACACCGAGCTGCAGTTGATTTGGCTCCGGGCTGCTGGAGCAGAATATGAATGAACCCACAGAGCCCAGTTGTAAATTCTTGCTCACTGAATATCTTTTTTTTTTTTTTTTTGCTGAGCATGTCATACACGTTCGTTTCTTCTTCTTTTTTTTTTTTTTTTTTTTTTTTGACATCTTCGGCACAACCAGACAAAAGATGCAGCGTACTTGCAGCCTCACCCCCCCTCCGCCCCCCTGCCTGCCTGCCTGGGTGCATATGCCCATATATCCCATAATCTGTCAGAGAGGAGGAAGACACTGGTCTGCTTTTGGTTATGAAGGTTGATAGCAGTTTATTTGGCTTTGGTCTGTTTTATCGGGTTTCTGCAAAGAGGTATTTAGAATAATGTGCTCATATAAGTCAGTCAGTAGGTCAGCGTTAGACTCACGTTTTCTGGAGGCGGTGTTATCAGGGTCAGGTCATACATACTCATTTGTATTAGACATGGCGCTTTAGGAGAAGGGCTTCTCTGACTTATACACATGAAGAACCCCATGATGGCACCTGATAAGATTGTATTACACTTTAGAAGAATATCTGTGGTTGTGAATTAGTGTAAAAAAAAAAAATATTATTAATTAGTCACCCTCCGTCATTATGTTGGATAGGTCTGTTGTGCTGGATCTCAGAGTGATAGTTTCCTCCTCTGAGATGTCCACATACCATATGGTGTTACTTTGTCATGTGCAGCTAGAGCCCTAACCCCAAGGGGATTTCAATTTTCTGCTCAAAGATTTTGGTTCCTCTTCATACCCAGACAGGTTTTTTTTTCTCGTAATCCTAACCTTTTTGAAAACTGGAATCTAAAGTTAGGTAAAGATATGTAGTAGACCATAATATATTAATTCTAGACATTAATTAAGCTGGCTCCAGCCTCTGGGGACAAATCACAGGTAGGTTATAGGTTTGTTTCACACTAACCAGATATTTTGAACATGAGTGCCGATTGTTGCTTTTCTGTGTCAGTGATCCAGATGTGTAAAGATAATGTGCTTGCAATGGATCCCTGATCTGACATGAAGCAGTATTTTATTAAGTAGCATGGTGATATGATGTAATATAATAATGTCATTTTCTTGTGCCAGAATAGTTATGCAGGTTGCCTTCGGGGGAAGACTGACACAAGAGGAAGTTAGTATGCACTATTTCTGGACTGCTGGGCTGAATGTACACATGATACAGTCTCTACCTAAAGCGAAACTATCTGGATTAATCAAGATTGTTGCATATAGGATTTTAAAATGACTGCCGTTATCATGAGCGCACATTAAATAACACTGGTAGTGTCATACGAGATACATATATACATTTCTGTCACACCTTTACTTACACAGTGAATAATCCCCATCACTGTGAAAGCTGCAGTGTTTTCCTCTCTTTTTCACATCTTCATTTTGACGCCTTGATTAAAAGGTGTGCCAGAGGGATGTCTCACTTACTTTCGAATGTGCAAGGAGAGATCAACACCTCGCAGCTACCATCCTTCACGTCGACTACAATCTCTGCTGTGAAAAGACGCAGCTCATTCAGATTTAAAATGGCAATTTCTTCCGAGATGAAAAGACAAATCCAGTAATTAAAACCAGTTCTCTCTTTGCAGGACTATTGGAATGTTTTGTAATGGAAGTCAGCAGGTGCAGCCTTTTTACTCTATTTTTAGTGGAAGAAATGACAGACTCCCCTGAAAACTAATTGATAGTATGAGTCTTTATGTCTGTGGAACATTTAGATTAGGACCCTTAACTGAGGCATTATCATGGTACCCCACATTAATTGGGTGTTTCATCCCATTGCTGGTTTTGGAACTTAAAATATTTTTTTTTATATAGAACAGGGTCTAACTGAGTGGCCCCCATCTGACTAATGAGCAGCAGAAGGCTTCAGTGTGTGCAGACTGAGAAAGAGAGAGGCCTGCTCACACAAGGGTGTCTGTTTGCAGTGTGCTACTGGCAGTTTGTCTCCAGTCAGTTTGTTTTCCCATGGGAAAGTGCGAGAGCTCTGAGCTGCTGCCCTGACCTTGGAGAGCGGCTGGTGAGCAGTGCATCAACCTGGGCAGATGTTCAGGTTCATACACGCCCCTGCCTGCCATTACCCTGCTCCCTAGGGCGCACACACACACACGCACACACACACAGACAGACACACACACACACACACACACACACACACACACACACACACACACACACACACACACACACACACTAGATGGTGTGCAAGGTGCTTCCACTGCAGCACCATTCAGTCGGTTTACATGTGAGCCGTCATTGTCAGACATACAACAAAGTGTAGGAGGCTCAGCTGCTGCACTGTGTGTGTGGTAGCTCAGGGGAATCCTAATAAACAGATGCATTTTTAAACCCACAAATTTGTTTGGTTTCTGAGAGAACATAATGACTTATTTACAGTATACTTAAGAATGTGGGTCATGCAGTAGATTGTGGTTTTAGTTTATATTCCCTTGTTTTATCACTCTGTTGCAAAATTGAAGGCTGCACAGAATCACACACTACAAATCTATCGCCTTCTTGCACATTCTTGCATCCTCTATCAAGGGTTTGGTGTCATATATAACAGCCAAATGAAAAGAGGTCAAAGAAAAGATAAAAAACTTGTGATTTTTGACGCCAACTGAGGGTACATGTGATGTGATGATTTGACAGCCAAGAACAAACCAAAAGCTGCAAGATTCACTGCGTGTCATGCCCAAACTCCTATAGAGTACTGCTGAGAGCTGGTTGAAACAGGTGACCAAATTAATTTGATTGTGTGTGACTTAAAGCACACAGTATGTCTCACACTGTAAGAATGCTTCTCCGTCGTTACATTCCTGAGAAGTTTAGCCCTTCAAGACTGTTTGTGAAGGACAATCGCCACAAGGACACAAGAATTATCAAGCCGGCATTCTTGGATTAAATAGTAGACTAGTGTAAATACCACAAGTGTCACTGCTCATTAAAGAGTGCATTGCAGGCCAACTCATTCAAAAGACTTCAAGAGACTTGGCAGTTAAAAACACAACACAGCACTACACTGTGCTTGGTGTTTCTTGAAATCAAATCAAATATTCTGGGCGTCTTATGAAAGCCTATCGTGTCTGCTCGTGTCATGGCTGCTCTGTGAAGAGTAACAGAAGCTGTTGGGAGGCTGTTTGAAAGAACGGGCTCCCAAAAAATACATTTTTACATGACCCACACAATATAGAAGATACAGACTGCACCCTTTACTCTTTTTCTTTACTTCTAAATAGTTTTTGAGCAATCACATCCATATAAGTGTAGTCTGAAACTGGTGATTCTTCCCTCAGGGCCCCTTCTGGGTGTATGTTTGCATGTCTAGACAACACATATGCATACCTGTCAGCAAGAACACAATGCCTTATCAAATGAAGGATGCCACTGATATTAGTATGATACTCATAGACCTTTTTTTTCCACAGCAGCCATTTTGACATGAAATAGTAGGTTAAAAACTTACTAGGTGTTATCAATGACACTAATTAAGGTTCTGTTCCATTCACTGTAGCAGAGACTACCGCTCCAGTGAGCCAACATTCACAGTAGCAGCACCCGGACTCTATCTGACCTGAATGTAACAGAACCTTAACTCATATTCACCTGTGTTTACCCTGTTATTTCATGTCAAAATGGCTGCTTTATTGTCACACTGTAAAAAAGTTCCTCTGTAACTAGAGGTTTTAATCATACAATATGATTGAGGGTTAAATAACTAACACTGCAATATATAGGAAACAAACATTGTGTACTATACACTGTGTGTGTATATATTATGTGGACATTAATATTTTGTGTACGATTGAATCTGTCTGCATATACCCATATGTGTGGGGTTGCTGAGTGTGGACTGATGAAGTTTATATCTTAGGGGACATATGTGGTGGAGAAGTGTAGCTTCTGTGTGACTTTAAAGCATGAACTACACAGTGAGTAGTGAAATGCCCCACAGACAACCCCCGACGAAGAAGCTGAGCAAATACAGCTGATCCAGAGACTGTCCAATCCCCCTGGCCAGACCACCCACAGCCCAGCCCAACCACTCCACCAACATCCGCCAGGTCACCCACAAGAGAACACACCTCTGCACTTACCCACTCCCAAACACTGCCAGTGATTCGGTGACACCCAATGTGGTCCAAAAGGTCCTGAGTCATCCTGGACACCAGCCTACCTTCCTACCAGATCCCATTAGGGTATCTATTGGAGCAGATTTATAGCAGGAGCACAGTTGACTCACCATCAAACACCTGAGTCCATACCCAGACACGCTCTATATGCACAGAAGGTACCTGCCTGCCCTGAACACCCAGCAGCACTCCTGACAACACCCAAAACCTCAGCCAGACACTGTGGTCACGTCTGCTGCAGGGCGCAGATGATTAACCACAATTAATCAAGTTTTTGTCATGTTCCTTCCCTGTTTTCATTCAACTGAACCGTATAGTAAAGTTGAGGTGCTACAGTAAATACCTTTATGATTTCAGTATTTTATTTCTGTTTCTCTGCGGATTTCTTGAAGACCACACGTGATATGGTTGTGCTTTTGTATTAAGCAGGGCTGCAACTAATGACTTCATTATCGATTAATACGTTAATATGTTTATGTTTTCTCGATTAGTTGTTGTCAGAAAATAGTGAGAAATGTTTATCACTGTTTCCCGAAGCCCAAGGTGACTTCCTCAAATCTCTTGTTTTGTCCACAACCCAAAGATATTCAGTTTACTGTCAAGAAAGGACTAAATAATGTTTTTCTAAAAAATTTACTCAAAACAATGAATTTAATTTAATTGTTAACAACAATCGATTAATCGACTAATAGTTGTAGCTCCAGTATTGGATGGTAACAGGTTTTTAATTGCAATCTTAAAACTATTATATCCTGTTTACTATCCCCCTGCAGCTACATGCATTAGAGAGTGAGAGAGAGAGAGAGAGAGAGAGAGAGAGAGAGAGAGAGAGAGAGACTGAGAGACTGTGGTCTGTTATTTGCCCCAGCACTCAGCAGGACATCTATTAGTATGGAGTTTGCTGTGTCATGGGAAGACTTAGCCTTACAATATCTGCAATAGCAACATAAATGAATAGATTGCTGATGTGGCCAGAGGGTGCAGCAGAGTGGAGCCTTGGTTTAGGGCTCGTCTGCCTGGCGGGCTCTGTCCTGCGGGAGCTCAGGGCGACCAGCAGGTGGATAAAAGGCCCACTGTGGGCTGCAGATGGTGCATGGCCTGGGTTGGAGGAGGGAAAAGGGGATGGAGATGGACAGGCTCACAAAGACTGCCTCCACCCACCCCCATTTCTCATCGACCCACATGATTCCACCTCTACAGAAGAATCCCCCAGTTGTGGGGCTGGAGGGAGTGAGGTGGGGAAGTCGTCTATGTACAGCTGGGTTACAGAATCAAGGTCTGAGCCTCAGGGAGAGGCAAAATTTACTCTTAATGGAAAATGAGTATACCCTGTGACCTCAGCTTTAGTCCGTCCCCATGTGCTAATTTCTGTTTCCCTTAACCCTTTCGACTTCTTTTGCCTTTGTGCCACTGACTGACTCATGGTCTGCTTCTCACTTCTGCTTACTGGCTGCTGTCAGTGCACACAGAGTGAGGCCTGTCTGGTCTATAGTTAGTAATTTAAGGCTTGACAGAAAAAATGCATATGCCTATTTAAAGGCACGGACACAACTCACACACAGTTTTATAAACATGACGCCATATAACCTCAGGGAGGTTACATTACAAATGCTATTTGAATAAAAGCTATTGATACGACATTTTGTTTATTCTTTATGCTATGCTTATCTGTCCAGGGTAAACAGAAACCTCTTGACAGTAAGTCAGTGAGTGTTACAGTAAAGTCCATGTAGCTTAATTGACTAATAAAGGGTGGTAGCTATATGTAACTGCACGCATTAAAGGGGGTGGTGGTGCAGTAGTGTTCGCTTTTCCGACAGTACGGATATAGCACTTCAGTTAGGTGGGACCGAATAATTGAAAGCTGTTTTTGTCTGTGGCTCTGCAGCTCCTCACATAGGTCTTTAAGTATTGTGTCACCCGGAGATAATTCAGAAGACAGGATCGTTCACACACACATACGCAGACGCACACACACACACACACACACACACACACAGACACACACACGCCATTTGCAGCTACTGAATCAATACATGTCTGAAGGTGAAGTCGATGTAAGGCAACCTCTATACGTATTGTTCTCATAAGTCCCCATGTATCCTCATGTTTCCTGGTTAAAAGGCTACTGTTTGTGTCGCACTTTAGAGAGTACGAGAGAAAGATACTGTGGAATTGTGTGTGTGTGTGTGTGTGTGTGTGCATGGAAATGTCTTGGGATGTGCAAGCGAATCAGCAGCCTTGAGGGATAATGTGCCTTAACTCCGGCTTTTTGCGTGATCCAAAGGCATGTAGACCTCCGGGATTGAGTCTGATTGATGATGTATATTAAAATTTAGTACATGATGCGTGTGTATGGAAATGTAATGAGCTTAACCATCGGTATCTGCCTGAGCATCCTCCTCTACCACCTCTACTCTGACACTCTTGGGGCAAGAGAGCCAGTATCTAAATATTTTATCATGAGAGGCAGATGCAGATGAGAGGCTGTGCTCATATTCATTGACTGGGGCAGGGATTACATTCATATTCTTGTTGCAGATTAGAAGCACCCACTCTTAGCTGATTAATGCAGGGCTGTGAGTTTGCAGCTTCAGTAGTAAAGCAGAGCACATGAGTTATAGTCAGGTCTGTTCGAACTGTGTTACACTTTTAATTCCAGCTGGTCTTTTATTGATATAGCATCAGTATTTACCAACTTTACCTTTCTCATGGAATAAATGTAATAATTTATTGAAAAATATAATTTAAAATATATAGAAAATATACTTGGATATATAGAAAATATACTTGGATATATAGAAATATGACGTGTTTTACAATACATGCCAATGCTTTATTTTCTTTTCAACAATACTTTGATTTACTATATCTCAATATCCATGGAAAATATATGGCAATGCTTTTAGCTTCTAGCATGGCGTGGCTCAAGAGATGGTACTGTTTGTCATTCAGTCCATGGCTTTGGTCCAGACTGAAATATCTCAACAACTGCAAGAGGATGGGTTGCAATGAAATTTTGTCCAGAGATTCATCTTTCCCGGAGGATGAATTTTATTGGCTTTGGTGATCTCCTGACTTCTCCTCTAATGGAGGTTCACATTTCTGGTTTTCAAATAAATATTTTTAACAATTTTTGGATTGGTTGCCAGGACACAATGTCTCCCTCAGGATAAATTTTGATAAATTTGTTGATTTCATTAATTTAAACCTCCCTTTTTTATTACCATTTGCTTGTTATCTTCTCTTGCTTGCAACTGATCTTTGATCCAAAAGAAAAGATGTGGAGTGAGTTCTAAAACTTTCCATCCATTCATACTTATCTAAAGCCATTACTGTGCCACTCCCAGTGACATCGATATTGGAAATACTGAGATATTACACTGCTACGAACACTCAAACCTTCAAGGCCCAAGACTCTGGTGTAATCTTAGACTAGTGTTCGATGAAGAGGCGCACTACCCATCTCTCCGTCACAGACACGTATTGATTAGTCTTTCAAGCCTATGGCCTTATGCCTAAAGCAATCCTAATGGACAGTGCCAAGATCTTGAAAAGATTGTAATGTGTATGTATGTTCAAAGTATACACATTCCATCAGCTCCTTTTCCTCCGCCCTGCAGATTTGTCCAAGAATCGCCTCACAGAAATCCCACCAGAAGTGTGTCTGTTCGCCCCCCTCGAGTCGCTCAACCTCTACCACAACTGCATCAAGTGCGTCCCAGAAGCCATTATCAATCTGCAGATGCTGACTTATCTTGACATCAGGTGGGTCATTGCTAACACTTCAGTTTTGGTTCCTTTGTTTTATTATATAGATTCAACAAAATTGTATATATGCGTGTGTTTGGTTTTATATCTCTCAGGAAGTGCTTGTTCTCCATTTCAGTACACTAACAGGGGAAAAATGCTTATATGAAAGAGAGGCATTTCCTCTTTTGCTGAAACTCAATTCCCAATGATACTCACAGGCTTCTGTATACTGTTTTAAATTTAGGTCAATGTTTTATCTTTCTCTACAGCCGAAATCTTCTATCAGTTTTGCCAAAATACTTGTTCAGCCTCCCCCTCAAAGTTCTGCTTGTGAGCAACAACAAGCTTGTGTCCATCCCCGAGGAAATCGGCAAGGCCAAAGAGTTGATGGAACTGGTGAGCAGCGTGTACGTGTTAGTGCATATGAACTTCTGCATATTATACTGCCAGAGTAATCCCATTTCTTTTGTCTCCCTTTGCAGGATGTGAGCTGTAATGAGATCCAGGTGCTACCAGCTCAGGTGGGGAGGCTCCAAGCCTTACGAGAACTCAACATCAGGAAGAACTGTCTTCACATGCTGCCTGAGGGTCAGTCCATCACTGCTGATGATCTCAGCCACGGCTGTTGCCAACACAAAGGCATTACCTTTTCAGGTTGTCTGTCGGTCCCATTTTCTTGAACCGGATATCTTCAGAATTTCCACAAATTTGGCATAGACATTCACTTTGAAAACGGCATTATTTGGTCAAATTTCAAAGTCACTGTGATCTCAAGAGCTGATGCGATAATTATTAATATTTTTTTAACTATCCATCATTCATTATTTAGTTTGACTAGGTGTGGCAAACGTACTAGTCTCGCAGCCAAGAATCACAGTGTTTGTTTTGTGTTAGCTGTCATGTTGCCATTAAAGAAGGTGAAACCCCATTGATGAAGATGAACAACAAGTAGCAAGCACTGCTTTCATACAACAGAAGCGAAGGAAACCTCTATAAAATAAAAATAAAATATATTAAGCCATGCTTAAACAATTCTCAACCGTAACACAACAAACTGTGCAGCCTCTGAAGATAACAGACTAGTGCATGTGTTGCAATCAGCGCTGTTCTCAAGACCACTTTTGATGAGTCCAAGACCAGGACAAGTCGAGGCCCAGTCAAGAACAAGAGTCAAAAAAAATGTTTTGCAATTCCATTGCTTATAAACATGGTTACGAGGCGGCCAATGTCAATACCCATTGTAGATTAGGTCTAATCCACCAGCATGACAAAGCCTACAATATGTTCTGCATTTCATCACATTCAATTAAAGATGTTTTTGAAACTCCTCTCGTCTGTACTTGCAGAGTTGGCTGACCTGCCTCTCATTCGACTTGATTTTTCCTGCAATAAGATCACAGAGATTCCTGCAGCCTACAGGAAGCTCAGGCAGCTGCAGCACATCATTCTAGACAACAATCCTATGCAGTCTCCACCCGCACAGGTATATGCATTTATCTCATAACTGTGTTTTTGCATAATATGTGGGCTTCAAATATGTATATGGTGTCAACATGCGGCACCAATGTTTTTTATAAAGATTTCCTGTATGTGGTTCATACGTCGTGTCCCTCACTCCTTACTCAACCTGGTGCAACTGCACCATCTACTGGATGAATGAACACAATTTCTTTGTAATTGTTAGAACAACTCTATTTCTATGTTTCAGATTTGTCTGAAGGGCAAAGTGCACATATTCAAGTACCTGAACATCCAGGCGTGTAGGATGGACAAGAAGCCAGACACCCTGGACCTCCCCTCCCTCGGGAAACGTTGCCTCCCACAGCCACTTACAGATAGGTACTGATAACATAACACACAATGCACCTACTTCTTTAACGTTTCTGTTCCTTCATGCCCGCATGGTATGGTATCTGGGATTCTTAATGAGTTCTTTGTTTTTGCATATTTCCAGCATGGAAGATTTTTATCCCAGTAAGAACCACGGCCCTGACTCTGGAATTGGTAGTGACAATGGTGACAAGAGGCTGTCTACAACTGAGGTCGGTGTTCAAACACTCAACATTAACTGATTGCATTGCCAAGGCATGATGAGCATGTTATGTGTGTTACCACTTACTTGAACATTTTGAAATACATAAATGTCAACCGTGTGGAATTTTCTTTCTTTTCTAACGGTGTGTTAAGCAAAGTTTAAGTGCTGCTTTAAGTGCTAAGAAAATGTGGGCAGAAAATACAAAATAATGGCAAATATTGCAACTAGGTAGTAGAATATCTGACAAGAATTGATTTGGTCAAATTCGCACAGGTATGTCTGGCTAGACGCTCAGGGTTGTAGCTATAATCTCCAAGTCAACAGTGGTAACGCAGATGAAGTAGAGGGTGTTTTAGGTGAAAGTGTGACGCATATCCTGCAGCACAATCATTAATAATGTGTATGATTACCTGAATATAGGAATCATTGTGTTTTTTGAGATGTTTTTTATCTACAGACACCAGGGGTCGCCTTCCATGTAGTCTGCTATTTTTCTACAGTAGCCCAGAATGTACAAACCAAACGCCGGCTGTAGAGGGAGCCTGTTGCATTTTTCACATAGTTTCTCCTACATACAGCCTGTTCTTATTCCCAGGTTGTCAAATACAGACACAAGTGGTGTTCAGTTAGTTGCAATCTACAACTTCACTGCTAGATGCCACTAAATTAAACAAACTGGTCCTTTAAAATGAAAACTACATGCAAACATTTCTTTTAAAAATATATTAGAAATTGCAATAGTAAGATGCAGGTACAAAGACCAGCACATAAGCCCATCTGAACCCAACTTATAGTTCACTCCTCGTTCTTTTCTTCTCCTGCAGCCTTCAGATGATGACACTGTCAGCCTGCACTCACAGGTTTCAGAGACAGCCCGTGCGGATGCCCTTTCGCTCCTCTCAAAAATGGATTCTTGCAAAGGTTACCGAAAATAAGTATCACATATTCCCTTTGAAAGCAATAACAGAGACTCGGGGTTGTTGAATGAAGTGCCTAGAATATAACAGTTTATGTGATGAACGCGGATGCTTCCTCCCTCTATCAGATCAGGATCTCTATGACTTTATAGAGCCAAACCCGGATGAGGATCCTGCTCTGTCAGAGTCTGATGGGCAGCAGAGCAGTCATGTGTCTTGTATAAAGGTATGAATCAATCTGTTTATCAATAGGATGATTACAAAAATAAAAGAAGGAGGTTCATAGGAGATAAAATCAATTTCTGGTTATTGGTTCCTGACATTGTGCGTGTGTGTGTTTTAGGAACTGGAGAAAGTTCTTAACATGTCTCACCAAAGCAAAGATAAAGACAGCTGGAAAGAGGAGTCTGGGTGAGTTTGTTAGTCAGTACAGTAATCAAACAATCAACCGGCACGTCTTGTACCAGACACTTTTTTCTTGTCTCATTCTTTACAAAAACCATGCAAATCATTTTTGACTGCAAAGACTGCAAAAACTGTAATAGACTAGCCGTCGACCTGGATACGTTTACAGATACAGATCTGCAGCTGCTGTTTTTCAGTGTGAACCAAACATTTTGGGAAAGATGTTTTTCTTACTATCTATTTTTTAATTCACCCTAATTGTGAAAATACATACTACTTGTGTACAGAAAAAAGGGGTTTTTAAATATATCAGGTGGTTACAAATCAGCTATTTCAATACATTTCCCAAAATGAGTCACACAGCACTGACTAATGGTTACGGTAGATGCCAGCTCAAGCAGTCAACTAGATGGGAAACCCCTAGTGCACAATAGCACCTTGAATCACCAGCTGCAAATACAGATAGCAGCCATCACTCTTTGTGCAAGTTGTGTATCAGTTTAAAACATCTGCCAGTATTTTGGGATGTTTAGACTGCAAAATGGTTATCATGTGCAGCCTTGATTTAGCCACCACAACAAATTTAATGTGGATATGTTTAGATTACATAATTTAGTTTACATACACATGACTAAGTCAAAGAAGTTTTAGTGTTTTAACAGCTGTACTGAGGCTTTCTGAATTTATTGTTTAGGTGATGTGGAATGCTCGCTTCTCTATTATGTTATGCCAAAAATGTCATGTAAGCTACGCATTGTACAATTTCTGGTGATAATAAATACTTCAATCTGAACTTTTCACAGTTCTGATAAGGAGCAGCTAGTTGAGGAAGAGGATGATGAGCTGAAGGAGGTGCTGGATCTGAGGAAGATTGCCGTTCAGCTTCTGCAGCAGGAGCAGCAGAATAGGTGTGTGGTTCTCCTCTTTCTCCTCCTAACAAAAGCCATCACCAAACTTAATGAAAACACTCTGCTCTGCCATTACTTTATATCTCCATTCATTACACTGCTTAAATCCACCTCTTTCTTCTCTGACTGTCTCCATTATCCTCATTATGTTGTATACTCATGTGAGCTGCTCCCATTGGTCAGGTGAACAGATTAGAGGGAGGAAGATTGTTTCCCAGAATTTGATATTTATTTGCATTCTTCAGGCTGAAACTGTACAACTGTGTTCCTCAGTATCCACACAGTTTTCCATGACATCAACAAATACCGCTCCATCATCACCATTTTACCTCTTTCACCTCTGCATATCAAATTCTTATCAGCACTTCGCTTACTCTCTTGTTCCCTGCTTTCTCTCCTCCACTCGGCTGCTGCACGTTTGATGTAATGCATTACAAACGCTTCTAGACGACGTTCCTTAATTTGCAGAGCAGAGAGTCTTATTCACCGACGAAGAGTGACTGGCCGGGCGCACAGGTAGATGGATTTTCTTTCAATTAATCAATCCATCAACAGGTAGATAACCGCTGATCGAGTCAAACAAATGTGTGTTTCCATATCTACGGTACAGTACACAATTAATGCTTTTAAAAACACACATTCCCATCCAGGCTTTAATGGGGTTTTTTGCCCTATGATTGGTGGATCAGTATTTGGAAACCGAAGCTTTTTCTTTGCTTGAACTTTTGAATATTTCCATATTTGAAGTGAAATTAGCTCATCTTTACCGTGAGCTGGTTTGCGCAAGCTTAAAGAGGAAGTCAAGCAGATACTCTTAAATACTCTCCCATCCATTGTGCAGATGAATTGCCATTTGTTGCTCAGTTGGTGAAACTTCTGTTGAATCTGACTCAGCCCATTGTTTTATTTTCGCAGGTCATCCATGTTTGTAAACATGTAACTGTAAATGGTTGACAATCTGCTTGCATCATTAAATATGAGTCATTGTTTTGACTCATCCTTTGACAACGTGCGTACACCCTGTAACTTGAGTCATTGCCGTGACTGAACTTAGGATTGTATGCACGCATCATGTAACATTAGTTACATGAATGCTGTTTTAACAGTTGTTGTTTATGTGCAGCTCTGTAACCGCACCTGCATCTGTTTCCATCTGCAGATTCCTAAGTCACTCTGGCAGCTCCAGCAGCAAACCGAGGCCCCCGGCTCAGACCGCTCGTAGGTATGTACTGTTCAGTCCTGCTGAAGCATATATTTGTAGTGGAGTCCTCATAGAGGGCATAGTAATGACCACCTGGGACCGAGCAATATATCTACAGCATATAATAATTGTTATATGCTGTTTGATGAAAAACTCATGTGTCCAGAGACAGTGAACTTTGGAAGAAATATAGATTTTTTCAGAATATACTGTAGCCCATTTTCAAATAAAAAATCGAATTGAGAGGCAAGGTATTTTCTTCCAATATGATATAATAGATTGCATTAGATCCTACTGATTAAACTGGTGATTTTTTTTAATGATTTATCCTGTAGTCCATAAAATGATTTAAATAATACTGTAAAAATGCCCGTCACAATATACAGGAGCCAAACATTACAATTTTTCTTCCGTTCAAAACACAAAGATGTTACATTTAAAAGATATAAAAGATAACAACAGATTCTCACATTTTATCTTCTGAAACCAGCTAGTGTCTCCCATTTCTGTAGTGTTTAACTTGAAGACATTGAGCCTCATGCAAGAACCACTCATACAAACAGTGTTCAAACAGAAAAGGTTCTTTCACAGGGGGCCATAGTGTCTTTAATGTTATATAATACTGTGATACAATTACCTGATGCTACTCGTGTCTTTATTCTAGTGCTTCTCTGGATGAAGGAAGTAGTGGAGCATCAGTGCTGAGTGGACAGGTACAAACCTTTTTACTTCAAAGCAAACATAATATCAGTAATATTTCACATATGTGGTGTTTATCAGTTACTTCGTTTGTGGTTGCAACTCCCATTCCTAATGTGATGTTGCTGCTTTTACAGCCTTCTTCGTCCTGCTCCTTTGATGGCAGCCTGAAGATGGATCAGTCGGATTCAGAGCCAAAGTGGCCCGAAGTTCCACCCGTCCTCAATCAGAATGAAGATCGCAGGAGGAACAAGTACCTGAGAAAAGATTATCTGAAGGTGTGCATACGTCTCTTAATTGATGGCTGGTTAAAATCAATATTCCGCAGAACACGCCTTGTTAGATGCCTGAGGATAATTCTTAGGCAACTGAATTGTTTTCTTTGGTTTTGAGATATTCATCTCTATAAAATTCCTGTTACTACCCAAGTTTATGGGAATTATGAGAGTTTTGTTTGTGGTGCTCTCACAACTGAAAGGATACATTTGAAAAACTTATCAGCAGTGTGTATCCGGACAATGTGGACAGTCCACAGATCTCACTGTAGACACTGTTTTAACGGGGTCTGCTTCTTTGTTTATTCCAATAAAGTGAGGTCTGTTGATTCTCCAGAGTAACTGGGACAATTTTATTTTTTTCAACTCTTTGAGCGCCACTTTTTCCACTTTTATATTTGGGTCGCAGTTTTCAGCCAGGTATCTAAGAACCTGGTCCAGTAAAACGTACAACTATCTGCATTGCTTGACACCATTACTGGTGGCAGAAAACATGTTGTGTGTGATTTAAAAGGTGAAAACATTTGCATCAGTTAAGATCCTTGAGAAAGTGCCAGGTTTTTCTCAAGAATCAGGAAATAATGTATGACTTTAATGATTTTATTAAACATTTGCATTCGTGGTCAAAAACTGGTCCAACCTGAGACCATGAGTACAAATGAAGTAAAACAATTAGTGTTGAATGATAATTTTTTTTTTTTTCTTTTCCAGTACAAGTGTCAGAGTGCTCGTAAAAACTCCAGTGGGAATGACGACAATGAGGTTGGTGACAGATAAAAAACTAAATATCTTATCATCTAAAAACTTCTTTCACTGCTGTCATAATGCTGTACTCTGATTGTAATGAATGCTTTGTCTTCAGGATGGCTTGCGCAACGCTGACTTCAGCACCACCCTGACTGTGTTTGGGTTAAAGCCAAGATCAGGTAATAGACAAGTGTTTTTTTTTATGACCTTTACTGTGTTAAATTCTGGCTCGCTGTTTTTCCTTTTCACTGCAATAATAAGCATGGGTTTAAAAATAACCTTCCACACGGTTATTATTTTAAACGTTTGTTGGATATCACCCATGCATGTCAATTGTGACATCAGTTTGTGCACATTTGAATGCCCTCTTCAGATTTCTCAATAAAAAAAAAAATACTAGAAACTCTTAAGACTTGATAAAGAAGAAGCTTAAGTAAATATTTGAAATTGGTAAACAGCAAAACATATTTGGAAATTACATTGTTTTTTGTATCAGTGGAGTGGAAAAAAGTCTTCGAATCAATGGAATTAGCTAGATTAGTCTATATTTGGTGCAGTTGGCTTGCACTTGCTGAAAGTATTACCACGAAGCTTGAAGAAACACTGAGACAGCGCCCTATTGTAACCTAAGCCTGATATCTGTTGTAATGTGAACATTTTCCTCTCCATGTGAAGCCAAAAAATTTTTTTAGGTGGAGTCTTTTCTCTGGAAGTGGGAAAGGTTTCTGAGGAACTGTTGATCTGTTCTATATCAGTGCATTAGCAGTCAAGTCAAGACACAACAGGAGTAGTGTCTCTTTTCCTGATGAGATTTATTTAGGTGCTACAAAGACATTGTGTATTAATAATTTATGACATAATGTCAAAACACTGGTGGTGGATCCCTTACTTCAGTAAAACTGACCACATTGAAAAATACTCAGTCACATTAAAAGTCCTTCATTGAAAGTGTTACTTAAAGATCCAGTTTGTAACAGGATCTGTTGGCAGAAATTGAATATAATATCAATTTCAGTTTAGAGTGTAGAATGATCTATGCGGGTGTACGGGAGCGGGTCCTCTTCCAACGGGTCCGCCATGTTGAACTGCCATGTTTCTACAGTAGCCCAGAACGGACAAACCAAACACTGCCTCTATGTAGGGCCTTTTTGCGATTTATGTGGACACCATAGATTCTCCTACACGTCTGGAGTAAAGGGTGGTTGGTTGCAATGTGCAATCTCATTACTAGATGCCACTAGAGGCTACTGAATGTGCAGATTGCAACTAACTCAACAAGACTAAAGCCTGTATTTGACGACATGGGAATGAGAACAGGCTGTAAAGTGTCTAGGATAAACTACGGTGGCCACGAGACTGGTAGGAAATGCAAAAGGCGGTATCTACAGCCAGTGTTTGGTTTGTCTGTTCTGGGCTACTGTATAAACAGTACGCTGGCGACCGACAGCGTATGTAGACCAAAATGTTTCATTCTAAGGTAGGGAAAACAGGATTCCTATATTCAGGTGATTGTACACTAATGAAAACAAGCCTATAAATATATACCATTTCTGCCAATAGATTCTCCTAAATGTTACATACTGGACCTTTAAGTAGAAGTGAAATTGTGAATTTGTTTTAAAATAAGAGCTGAACTCATTGGAAGATTACCCTCTTTGAATTTTGTCTTATATTTAAAGGTGCAAGAATGCATCATGTCTCACATCGTTTTCCAGCTCCTCATTTACCGGATCATGATGGCATGTACAATCGGACAAATGAAGATGCATTCACTGGACTTTTGACTATTGCTGCACACAAATTTAAATACTCAATCTTGCGACACATGATGTGATAAATTACAGCCCATGGTTTATGACTTCTCCTAAATTAAATTATATTTGGAAAACATTAAAATCGTATATGGTAAGAAACTGAGTTTCCAGAAATAAAGGAACCAATTCTGGTAATTTAACTGGGCTGCAATTCTAACAAAATAGTTTCATGAGGAGTTGTGGGAAATGTACTTGCCCATACAATGTTGCAGTATCTAAAGATAAAAGGTGACGCCAGAACTGTGATCTTAGACATTCTCTAGAAACTTTGGTTTTTGACCATATCAAATTACTGATTAAACTAAACTATACTTAACTATTTGGCAGAATTTCCTAGTCAGTGGCAATGGAATGTGTTCGTTTCTTATCACACTGACCTATGCTTGACTTTCTAGGATTATCAGTTATCACTGTTTCTAGTATTTTCTTCTCTTGTATCTCACTGTGTGTTACCTGTAACTGTACCCTTCATTTATCACTTCAGCCTTCACCAGAGGAAGCCGCCAGGAGTACGCCTCGACAGACCCCAGTTTCACCATGAGGAGGAAGATGGAGCACTTGAGAGAGGAAATGGAACAGATAGGACTCTTACGGCAGGTCAGAAGCCTCACTGTTTGTTTGTGCATTTGCATTTTGCACAAAGCGTCAGGTCATTCACAGGCAAAAGTCTGCCAGATCCTGCCTTTGTTCCAGTGTTTATACCTTAAGGTGAATAAGTGACATCTAAATCAAATGTCCAGGGGATTGTGTGTGCTCTTACTAAGTGTTCTCATTTAGCGGCACGTAAGTGTCACTTGGATTCTAAGAAGCTGAGTCATACTGTACAATGAATCAACCATATGACTCTTCCCATTGTGTAAGGCCCATTTAGTGGAGAGTTTATGTTCATAGTTTTTGTAGCAGTCATAGTGCTGGCTCGTACTAGTACTTTTTACTTGCTAGTAAAATTTGTAATTTCTTAGCAATAGAAGTATTTTTGCAGTCGTAGTAGCAGTTTATGAAGTGCTAAACTACGTTCTTTCTAATAATGCAGTTAAACCTGATACTCGTAATGTAGCACTAATATAAAGAAGCCTTGTTAGGGTGCCAAGTCTTCTTATCACAGAGGAGGCTATGTTTCGACAATTGCTGCCATTTTCAGACCATGTGTTGGCACACAAATCACATTCCAATGTGTTGTCTCTAACTAAAACTCTGACTTGACAATCGGTACAGCATATGACACCCGCTCTCCTCAGACTCTCGATTCGGGTAAGAAAAAGCTCTTTAATGAGAAAAAAATGTCCCAGGATGGACAGACATTCAATAGATATCATGTTTACAGGAGAAACCAAAAAAGGTAAAAAATTAAAGTATGGACAATCAAGATTACAAAAAATGAAGATGAATTGTAAAGGTTTATTAAGATGGATCCGGTAAGGTGTTAAGCTTCAGGAGTTGCCAAACAGACCTGAGCCACATGACCTCCTCTCCACTATAAAGACCTGGAATGAAGACTACACAAACACAAAGCAGCTCACACACACTATTTACACTGGTAGGAGAAAGGAAATAAACACACAGAGGAAGAAAGATGAGATGAGAGCTGAATCTCCGTAAGGACAGAGATCCAAAGTCGAAACATCTGGAATGAGGCACTGACAGCCAAGGGGAGAGGTTTTGTTATGAAGCTGAGTCTCAGTACAGAATTTGAGAATAATCAAAGTCTCAGCAGCAAGTTAGAGATTGTCAGACACACCTATAAACTATGTAAAAGGAGTTCTAATGTTCCTGGCTCGAAACCAGAGTTACTCAAAGAACACAGGAGAAGTAAAGCAGCTTGAAGATAAGAAATGGCACGTTTGAGATTCCTGGTCTAGAAGAACATGCGTAGAGACGTGAGGTCATGTGCCTGGATGAGATTAAAGAATGCTTCTGGGCATTTTGTTTGTTATCTGCAGAGACCTTGGTGCCACCTTTGACTGAGTTGATGACAGACTGACAAAAGACATCAAAGGTGTTTCACCCACCAGATTCTTAAAAACAAGATAACATCGCACCAGTCAGAGATGTATAGTTGTTACTTCACGCTTGCATGCCATTTTACAGGTTAAGGTGATCTGATATTCCTGAAGAATATTTCTGTGATGGTATAGAAGGACACAAAGAGGGAGTCTATTTTAAAGTTGAGAAGCAGTTACAGGAACATGGGGCATGCACAGACAATGCTTTCCATGCTGAGAAGAATAAAGCAGACATGTACTTGCCACCCAACCACGACTGATTCTTTCACAATATAAGAAGTTAGGGCACAGTCAAACAGTCCGTGACTGTTTCCAAGGTCGGGAATGACTTTTCAGTCTCAATAAAATCATTATCAGAGTTGGTGAGAAATTACACTTCCTCCTAGTTCCAGGAAATCCAACGGGTTTCATAAAAGAAATGGCATGGACCAGAGTTTCACATTTAGAAAACACCATTATTGCTGAGAACAAAATAACCCCTTGTTCACCAACTTTATGGAAAAGCACAAAAGCATTTGATATTGCACAACCCACCGTCATGTGTAAGAACACCATTTCTTTGACTCTGTTTTTTGACAGATAGTGTGCACAGATCCAAATATTCAATCTTGCAACAGCTACTGTGATAAATTTCACTTAATGGTATATCTATTTACTTATGCTACTTCAGGAAATGAATCAACAAGAACCTTTGGCCGCTAAAAGATGTTGAGACACATTCAGCTAAATTCAGTTATACCTTTGGCAGCTGTGAAACATATGCAAATCCCCTGACCTAAGTATTGAATATTTATTCATTATGCATCAAGTCAAGTCAATAAATTGTAGATGTTATGTGAGGTACATTTGGTACTGCTGTCTTTTGTTTAAAAATCCTAACCTGTATTTTATTTCAGCCCTTCTTTTGGAGCTCAAAAGTAAAATTCTGTTAATCCATATTTACTAAAGCGCCATAACCAAGGTTTCACAATTTAGTTTGGGCTCAAGAAATATGTCCTTATGGCATTCCCTTTTAAAGGTGCACAATTTTGGTGGAGGGAAAGGATGTATCAACACTGCAACAGAGGAAACGGTGTCAGAAATATTACAGGCACACAAAGAGAAACAGAGACTATTGCCAGGTCGAAAAGAGAGAGTGAAACAGTGAGTTAAGACAACTTTTTCAGTCACAGTTCAAACAATGAAAACACTTTATTAGGTAAAGACTGTATTAAGTAACTTTCCAGGAGCTCTCCATTCAGCACCACAACAATGCAAGACTAAAGCACAGCAATGCAACAGACCACTTATTTTTGCATGATTTTATCTTTCTGTCATTGGCGTCCTGACTCTTAGTGGTTTACAGCAGGTTCCGTTTAGTGCATTCTTGACCTTGGAAACAGTAGTTTGATAAAAAACTAACTCCATCCATTTCTGAGCTTTTTACCTCTCAGTCCTCCTCAGCTGATGGAGTTTTGGAGAAGGAGATAGCCCAGTTGTCATCACATGCCCTAACACTCCTCAGAGCTATCACACTTGACAACTTTGGGGATTACAATCTCTGTGAAATTGACAAGGACTCTGGACAAGAGACTGAATGAGCTGTCTGTGAACACTAGACGAAAGCAGGTCGCAGCCTTGACTTTGAAGGGGTGAAAAAGACCATGGAGGCCATCCACATTCAACACCTGTTATCATACTCAGGTCATTTGATGACAACTTGCTATCAGACAATTAATAATAAATTGGCCAAAGATTTCTTATCTGTTTAAAGTAATAATCTGGTCAAAGGAGTTTTAAGAACCACCCAAAATCCCCCATTTTGATCCAATCACTGGTCTTTTTGTTAAGTTGACAACATTAGGCTAATTAACTAATATTTCTTAACATAGTATAGCCTTCCTCAGCTTGTGGCAAGAGTGCATTATTACAGTTCCAAAAGTGTCTTCTATTTACTTTTACTTTTTAGACACACACAATGTGTCTTTTTCAAAAGTTCTGCATCAGATCCTATTTAGCAACAATTAATACAAATCAGAGGCTGTATTAACAAACATGCTGAGAATAATCTCAGAGAGCTCCTAACTTAGCCAAAACAATTCTAGCAAGGAGTCTGAGCTTAGGAGTGATTTAGGAACTTTCTCAGAGCATCTCTTAGCAAAGGACAGCACAGAAACATTTACCTTAGTAAAAATGAAAACTGCACTGTGATAATGACTATAAAATGAACAATAAAAGGCCTAATCATATAATTTAGTCTCTATTAAAACATGGTTTAATTTTGAAAACTATTTGATGGAATGAATCTTTGTTGAATATCTTGTAAGCCATACGGTTTGAAAACACAGGCCTATTTGCGCAGTAGCCTGTTCACACGCTGATAGTTGTTATATTTATTTGCTTACATTTACAAGCTAATGATTTTAGGAATTAATATATTTGATATTAATGGCAATGTAATTTGTGAGCATGCAAAATGTGAAAATGAACTGCTGAACTTGTCAGCTTAAGAGTCTTTTAAAAGTCCTCCAGTTTTTCCCCCTGATCTCTCTCAAGGGCTAAGATGGTCTGTGAATAACTTTTATCTTTACCAGAATCTAGTCCTAACTGTAAGGAGAAATTCATAATTTTTTTGAATTTTCTTAGAATTTCATCACTAGGAGCAACTCTTTGAAGTAGAAAGCTTTATGAATACTGCCCCAGATGATTTATTTGGGCTCATTTAGATCTGCAGTCTATTGGACAGTCTACTGACTACTACAATTACACCTACTACACACCCAGATCCCATTTCTGCCTTTTAGGTGGTTGCACTTGTGTGTACACCTACTCTCACTAATAGAGAATTTGCTGCCGTGCCTTAGTTGGACCTTCCTGGTTAATAAAAAACAAAAAAAGTATCTAAAGAGGAGATAGACCTCACTGTAAATAATTAAATAAACTCCTTTTTCAACCAAAATATGCATTGTTCTTGAGAGGACAGTGACGTCATTAGGTCAATGTTAATGTGTTTGCAGAACATTGAGTCCAGACTGAAGGTGTTGCTCCCAGATGATGTTGGAGCTGCTCTGATGGATGGAGTTGTTCTTTGCCATTTAGCCAATCACATTTGTCCTCGGTCTGTTGCAAGCATCCATGTACCATCTCCTGCAGTGGTAAGTAGACGTGAAACTTCTTGAAACGCCTTTTATTTTAAACCGAGTTATAGATAATTGATAAGATGCTACTTTGTGGTAATTAATGATATTTTCTTCTCACTCTCACAATAGTTGGATGTAGTGTTCTTTGTGATTTCCATAACCTACAAAACCTTACAGCTTCGTGATTGTTCGGGGTTTTTTGTTTGCTCTGCATTCAATTTCTAACATGTTCTGGCCTCCAGCCAAAGCTGAGCATGGCTAAATGCCGTAGGAATGTGGAGAACTTCTTGGATGCCTGTAAGAAGCTGGGTGTCACACAGGTAATCCATCATTCACATAAATATGCTACTTACTGTTGTATTACTTTACAGTGTTATTATATGTTGTTCAAATGTATGATCTACCAGTCATATCAACTGTTGATCTCTGTACAATACACCAACTTACAAAACTACTGTGATACTGACTGACTGTACTACAGTAACTCTCTACAAGTTCTGTCATGCACACTCACTGGTCTGGTTTGTTAGTTGAGCGTCGTACTGGTGGAAAATGTATCCCATAGCTAATGGAAATTAGAAGTGTTTATTTTCCTTGGCAAGATCTGCCTGTCAAATTAATATTTACATTTATTCTTTGTCAGATACAATTCTGTCAATACTGATAGGAATCTAAGTGAAAGCCATTCCCAAGTGGTATCGCCCCACACAGATTTTTGTATGGAAGCCATACTTCATTGGGAAATTCAACCACTACTGAACTACTTTTACTTTTAAGATTCAGATTCCTGGCACAGTCACACATACGCAAATGCAGGCCAAGCCTGCCAAGGTGAAATGTTGGCAGTGTAGGGTGTGACACACATGGAAATCAGTTTCCTGGTTTGTAGTTTGTTTTATGGTTCAATTGGGTTGATGCTGCAACTTTGCAGGTCAAAGGACTTGACTTGCATTTTTAGATCAGAAAATTACCAATTGAAGCATAATAAATATTGCTGTAACTGAAGACGTCTCTCCGCTAACTCAGGACAAGCTGTGTCTGCCCCATCACATCCTAGAAGAGCGCGGTCTGGTGAAGGTGGGTGTGACTGTCCAGGCTCTGCTGGATCTGCCTCCATTGAAGCCCACACAACTCTCAGCTGTTTGACACAAGCCTGAATGTTGCGTCCAACCTGCAGTCATCCAGCCAACCCCTCTCCCCAGCCCAAACCCGCACCCAATTACCAGGGACCAGAGAGCCCCTTTGGGCGAGGACCCAGTGGGCAGTGGTTCTTTGGGAGTCTGCTTCTGCCTGACTGAAACAGGAGACAGGAGGAAGAAATACCTCTGTCTCTTTATATGATGTCAGACATCACCCACTTCTTGTCCATCACATTTTCACTTGTATCCTGCTCCTAGTTAATGGGGTCATCCTGTATGTGTGTGGACTAGCAACGTGACTGTGTGTTTCCTGTGTGAGCTGCACAGTTTGAGACACACGGACACAGACAAGACAATGGATGATCTGTACATCCCTCTCAACATAAGCTCAGTGATTAGTGAGCCTGCAAGTGCCAGTTCTGACATATCCATGCTGGTGTTGGAGACATTGGCAGTGAGGAGATGACAGACATGTTACTCACTCTTTCACTAACAAGACCTAAGCTGCACACTGGCCTTGCAGCCACAAACCACTGACTGACTTCAAGGAGTTCTTACACTCTTGAGTTTCTTTCCCTTTTGTGGAATTTATTTTTCCATGAAAATTAATTTTTGACTTTGTTGTATAATGTTCTCTTTTTTTACATGGTGTGCATCAGGTCCCTACTGTATATTCTTTTCAGCAGCCAAACCTGATTCATAAGTAGTTGACTTATTTGCAAGTAAGTATTGCATTTGAGCAATCACAGTAGACATTCTGCCTTCTGTTTTCCCTGAAACTCTGGTTTCACATTTAAATTACTGTACAAATCATGTGCAACTCCGTACCGAAGTTCTCAATTCAAACCTGCATGCACAGAGGGAAGTGACATTTGACCACTGTGAGAACACGTGCTTGGCTGTGGTCAAAAGCACGGGGGTCCTGTTTTGTAGCATTTTTTCATTGCACATGCAAGGTTTCTGTATTTGCTAAATATTCTGTATTCTAACTTTTCTAAAGCTTTTATACTTTATTCCCAGTCATTGCCAACTATCACTTGCCATTTCTGTGGAGTTCATAACATGGGTGTGCCATGTTGGACACAAAACAGTCAGGATTTTATTGCTTTGCATAATCTCAGATGAAACATGTTTATACTGTGTGTGTTTATGAGTGGAGGCTCCTGAGTGAAAGGCTTCTGGATCAGAAAGGGGTTCAGTGCTGCTTAGAGGCTATCACTAATGCAAACCTTTCACACATGGCCTGATCTTAATGTCAGGCCACCCTGCTGTTTGTGGTTTCAGATACAGTTCATTATTTCAGGGAAATTAAATTATTTCTGTATTTATTCCTTTGTTTTATATTTGTATGTTGTTGTTTTGTGCATCTTAACCCTGACAAGATGTTCAGGTGCGGTGCAGCTGGACATTTAGATGTGTTTTCTGTATGATCCTGCTCAACTTAATGATTTAAAGCAGTAAGATGTTTTATTTAAGAGGATTTACTGACAGCTGTCACACCAATTGATGTAGTATTTTTAATTGGTTGACAGTAGTATAACATGGGAATAATTCAAAGTGAAAGCAACACAAAACATACCACATCTGTCAGTAGAAATGTTAACATTGTTGACAGCATAATAGGGGCTTGACGAAACACACAAGTGTGTTCACTAAGGCTGACTTTAGGGGTATTTAAAACTGTACAATGTGGCAGTACAATCAATTTCAACATAAAGCTGCACCCTGTTATCTTTAACCTTCTATTAAATCTGCACTATTATTAGTACTTTATTTATGGGCTATTATTTATAATTATACCGGTCTTCTTGTTAGGTATTTGGCATTTTAGTCTTGATTTTCTGGATAGCACAGGCAGCTGTGGTGCACCTTTCGTTTTTAAAATTAGCGGAAATTTATGTTAACCACATTATGGGTCCATTATAAATATCAAAGTAAAAAAAACACAGAGAAGCTCGGAGAACTCGAAAAGACATTTCAGTTCATTTAAAAATGCACCTTTAAAGAGAAGCTGATGCCTTCATGACCTGTATTGACCTCTACCTGTTGATATGACATCTTTTAGATGAGCTCTGAGCCTGTCATTGACACAAAGTCCCATGTTTACAACAGAAACAAGTAGGCAAGGCAGTTAGATCAGAGTTTTGATGTTTAGTGAGGACATAGCAAATCATAATGCAAAAACTGCTATATCAGTGTATTGTTTGTGTAGCTGAAACATCTTGGAGGACAACAGTACTTAGTGCCACTTCAACACCTTGAAAGTCCACATATATCATGTTAAACAGCATTGTAACATCTGAAAACATGACATATTGTGCCTTAAAGTAGTATTCTTTGGGTTTTCTGCAGTCTTACACCATCAGTTGTAGTCACCTTCTTTGCTGATGAGCTACAACTCTTGACTGGCTGCCATACTGGAGAAGAATTTAGTCAGAGCTCAATAATCGGACAACTCCATGGTCTACATTACATAAACAATGAAAATCCGAGACTTGTACTTGAGGTTTAGTTCATTGAGTCTTGCATGACTAGCACGTATTAGTTTCCAACTGTCTCATCGTACAAAGGTCCCACATTAGAATGTAATTTTATTGATGTTCCTGAGAAACTTCCTCTGAATGGGCTGTATTCACTGACTTTGCAGCATCATTTTCCAGAGAAGAAATGCCCCAGGGGTAAAAAATAATAGAGGTTGTCTGGTTTATCAGGATATATAGAAATATCTGTTCAGTCATGTTACACCCTTTTCTTATGCAGAAAGTCCCACAGAATTTCTGGGAATGCTAAAAGTGTATTGTAGGCTAATCTATGGTTGAGCTACATGCTGGCACTGAAGAAATACCCTAATCCATTATCATCTTCGTAATCATCTTTTATGCTCCTGCCACCAGTATCAAACGTGTATGTATGTCCCTATGTATGTGTCTACCCTTTAAAATGCTCCTTTTTAAAGGGGAGACATATAAACATCCAGTAAATAATACATGTGCAACAGTGGGCTGCATCTTAGAACAGCATCTGTGAAACATATTGTCTGCATTTACCACCATGTTAAATGTTCATTTACTGTGAAACACAAGCTGATGTACAATTTGGTGTAGCACACAGTGCTATGTTAGCATTACACAAGCTGTGCTGGCTATATCTGAACAACAAGAGTCACACAGCAAAGGCATTATCACTGAAGGTAGCATTGTAATTTCTCATGATCATCATCTGTCTATAATTACAGGTTTGAAGACAATGAGGACATTGAACTGATGTGTAACCTACCTCAGGTTTGCCTAATATTAGTGGTTTAGATTCAGATACGTTGCAGAAAAAGTTTAAAATTATGTGACTTGGCTAAAAATGTCTGGCCATAACTTACTGTATGTATGCACTGCTATCTCATATGTTACTGCACATAATCAGTTGTCTTGAGTTTTCAAATGACTCAGTAAATTTATGTTTCATGTCTATGTTTAGGACTGAGTTTGAATTTTTATAAATTTTTATGATACTGGCATCCAATGAGTCATGGTGCAAATGGAACTAGAAAAACACCACAAAGGAGATATTTTGTGGCCTAGTGTGGTCACTGCTGTGGTTTTTAATTGGGATTAAAGTAGATTTTCAGATTTATGGGAATTGTATTGCATTGCAATTGAGAACTAGCACAAACAGCCTGACATTCTCTCTCCTGAGAAAAAAACTGAACAATCCAAACCAAGTATTATATATTATATATCAATCTATGAGCCTACATGTAGCTGTTTTACATAAGGTGTGGCAACTTTACCCCACATAATTCAAACCATCACACACCTTGAAAGATCTTTGACCTTATAAAGGTAGAAATTCAAAGCTCTCCTCTCTCTGTTTTGCCGATGGATGTGCTAGACATGACTCACCCGACGTCTGATCTTTTTTCCCTGTTATGTCCATGCTAACACGCACTGCTTGTCTGAACATGTAAGTTTCCTTGTGCGTTCTCATTTGCATGTCGTGTAGCTATGTTTCCTTTTAGGACCCATGTTAATTCTCAGTAATTGCCTTTAGTGTTTAATGAGTTCACAGCCATGCTGGTACATGCATGCTAGCGGTGAGCAAGTGCTAAAATTATATTTGATTTACACACCTACATAACTCCAATGCAATGCAATTTAAGAGTGGGTATTTCCCCTTCCCTCCTTTAATGTGTGTGCTAGCCAGCACATCACTAGGATAGGTGTGCTGTCTTGTTCAGTTCTCTATTAGTTTACACTGTAAAAGTTGTGATGACTCATTCATCTATGAGCTAAGGAGAGCAAAACAAGATTCTTTTATGTTTGTATGGAGTGTATTTAAGAAATCACAAATCATGAAGATAATCTTTTACACCTTCATTTCAATGCCAACTATCCCTGTAGACACATATTTATACTAATGATTCTCTCTCAAATCTAATCTTCAGCTGTCTTAGTCAGACAAAACAATTGGGTATCCACCAATCTAGCTATCTAGATTTTCAGTCATTTTAATATGACATTTCCTCATTCCTCACGAAGAAGATTAGACTGTCACTGAAGAAGATTCCCTCTGGGTTAGTCCAACTCACTGCTGAAGCCTCATATTAGCTTTGGCTGAACTTTGAGAAGTATTTTTTCCTATAATTAGGACTATGGAAACAATGGAATCTCATAAAAAAACGCCCGTATGAACTAGAGGGAAGATTATAGCAATTGACAAACCTGTCAGCATACTGTATGTGCATTCGAGCGAGACAGACAAAAAATACAAAGCTATCCTTTAAAATGTAATAGCTGATTGTCATTTTATAACATGTGCGTGTTATCATCTGTGAACATAGTGTTTTACCCTAAGGACAGTTCTACTTTTTCTTTACTTTATTATTCGGTTCTTCTTTTGTGCTGATCTCACTGATTAATACATTCCATTGAAGATATTTTATGAGGCCTGGCACATTAGTATGTCACTCCCTTTACTCTGTATCATGGAGAAGTCACAAATTTTCCACAGATACTTAAGAGGTGCTGATCTGTGTTTCATAATGTCTGCGTGACTACAACTTCTGTAACGTCTCCTGCATTATTGGACAAATTACATCTGTACCTGTAGTTCGTTCCCAGTTCACACGGCTGATTAACACTCATCTCATCCAAAGAAAAGGTGAAACAGTGAGTCATGTCTAAATACTACACTGCCAAGAAAATTCAAACTAATGTATATAAGCTTTTTGTATTTTAAAACAAGTCAGATGCATGCAAGAATACTGAATGGCTGAAGTTGAACCTCTGTACATATCATCTGTATAAATTCCAGGGATTTCTTAAAACAAACAAACGTGGTCAATATCAAAATAAAGTCAAATTCTTTGCAGCTCCATCTGTCTTGTCTTTATTACATGAATCTCAAGCTCTTACCAGTAGAGTACCTTGCTAGTGCCACCTGAAGCAATGACAATGATTTATTGTGCGAATATGTAGATAACTGTAATTTGTTGTGACTATCCTGGATTTCCTCGATTAAGATGAAACAAAGAGAATCAACCACCTAAATCCCAAACTAATAAGGTAAACAGCTGTTCAGTACAAAACCACCTTCTGTCTTGTGATACCCGCAATGTCTCCCTCTTCCCTCTCCTCAGACTCTTCCTTCATGTCCCCATTTCTGAGCTTGTTCCATTTTGATCTGGTCCATGTCTCCCAGTCAGAGCCCTTTTTCAGCTTCTGCCTCTCTGAGTCAGCTTCTCGCAGACTGACCCTGTCTTATACATCTTTCTGTCAAAATTGTCCCACTGTCATTGCTCAGTTTGTTTCGTACTCTGCTTTGTGGTATTTCACTGATGAATCTTTTACTCCTCCCCAGTAATCTAGCACCATTTAATAACACATGACTGCCATCAGTTGTGGTGTTTCACATTTAGAGATTTGTCCACACTTCCTCACGGTCTTTGGGGCATGAGCGCATGATGCTGTCTTGAGGTTATGTGCAGCGGCAGGGAAGTGAGATAAATAATGTGCAGTCATTTTGGAGGCTTGAGGCTTATAAACATTGTTCTTTGACATTTTGTTGTAAGGATAGGGCTATCTTATGCACTCTGACCAACCTGTTGTATAATTTTTTTAATTCACATTTTTCTTGCCTTAAGTGTAAGCTGAAATTTTAGCATGAATAACAATTGCAAGATCCAGTAATATGACCTGACAGCCTTTTTAGGTTGGACTTTAGTATTTCACTTCAACTGTTATGTACGATCATACAATACTTGAACACATACATGCAAGCACACACATGCTAAAAATGTAACCTCCTGAGCGCCTGATTAGCCTGTCCTGTACTATTACTTGTGTGCAAGTCCTTTCCTGCCTTTTCCCTTTTGGATTTTTGTTTTTAGTCTACAAGTCAGCTGTCCACTGGTACTAGACCGTATCAGCTATGTCTGTGTTGGCATTTGGCCCAAGTTGTGGCTAATAACCAGAACTTTTTTTGTGACACGGTTATCCTGGGTTATCCTCCACATTTATTGCCAAGAACAACATTATGTCTGTTTTCAAACATTCGGGGCTTCATTCTTTACTGAAGAATATTAGTTATTATAGACAAAAGCAAACACTATGTTGAAAGTAAACATAATGACAAGATAAGAATTAGAATTTAAACTGCATGAAACCGCAGGGATTTGCACCTCTGACTAATTTTGTCTGCACCTGTTATCAGAGAAAGTCGGGTATAATGCTTTATAAGCACATAATCAGTATTAAATCACACAAATGCAAGTTATTTTTAATTTAAAAAAAAAACATTTTAATTAAAAAAAAACAGTTTATATATTATACAGTTAGGTAATACAGTTATTGTATGATGGACATAATTTAATATTTCAAATAGTAGTTGTAATAGTTGATAAAGTCAGTCAAAGATGATATCATGACTTACAAGTGAACTGAGGTTTATAAAGAACATATTTTGATTATAAACTTTAACAACAATAACTTTTAAACAATTTTGGCAGCATTTTCTGTGATTTCAAGTCATACAATGTCATAAAATTATCGTAAAATGATTCAATTTCAGAATAATTGGCAATGAACAGCGATAACATCAGTTTTCACTGTGAGTTGTCAGATTGACAAATCACCCTAGCAATCAGTTGTGTAAATCTTATCTCCATAAAAAGCAATAAATTGTAAAGTTGGGAAATAGAACAACACCACCAGGTTTTTGCCTTCAGGCGGCTGTCTGTTACTGAACAATATGTCATATTTACCCATCAAATAAAAAAAGATAGAAAAAAGATATAGTCAGGTGGAGTGGTTGATGGATGGGTTTACTGTTGGTATTTACCAATTTGCCAGACCATTTGATGGTTCCTGGTGACATATTTTTTATACTTTATGAATCTGCTGCTTCTCAAATTACCCCATGTCTTGGTCTCTGTGAAGCTTGACAGTGGTGGAAGAACTACTATGTTATTATACTGAAGTAATAGTAACTGAAGTAATAGTAACAGTACCAGTAGTGTAAGAAAAAGTCTGGCATTCTGAACTTTACTGAATAAAAGTAGCCTACATGACATAGCATCAAAATATACAATATATATATAAAGTTATATTATATAAAATGGTGCCCCATTTGTAAGGAACATGCATTTGTGGGATGAGCAGCAGCGCTGAGTATGTGGGTTGCGCCCATGAAAATTTGCCAAATCTTTTCTGAGGCGCCTGATTGGGCAACTAATGGGGCAATAGGGCAACTTCAAGCTGGTGTTCCGCAAAACCAAGTTGCGGCATTATTTGGAGTGACCCCTAGTACCATCTCCAAACTGAAGGCCAAGTTCCATATAACGGGGGATGTCAAAGACATGCCACAAAGTGGGTGTCCCAAGAAGACGACACCCCAAGAAGACCATTTCCTCACCCTGTCAGCACTTAGGTGCCGTAGGCTGTCTTCTACAGATTTGCAGTCAAGGTTTGCAGGATGATATGGCCAACGGCTCTCTGCCCAGACAATCCAGAACAGACTACACGCAGCCAATCTCCGGTCTCATAGGGCTGCCAGGAGTCCTGCCATGACTGCCCTTCACTATCAGGCCTGTTTGCGCTGGTGTCGGCAACACATGCACTGGAACCTGAACATGTGGAGGAATTATGTTCAGTGATGAGTCCAGATTCTGCCTACGGCAGTTGGATCGTAGGGTCAAAGTGTGGAGAAGATGCGGAGAACGCTATGCTGATTGCTGCACCAATAGAATAACATCTTTTGGTGGAGGCAGTGTGATGGTGTGGGGCGGCATCTCCCTCACTGGAAAAACGAGGCTTGTCATCACTGGAGGCAATCTCAATGCAGAGAGATATGGAGATGAGATTCTGCAACCAGTGGCAATCCCATATCTCCACAGTCTGGGACCGAACTCTATCCTCCAAGATGACAACGTTCGCCCCCACAGGACGGGGTTCATCAGAGACTACCTCCAGTATGTGGGAGTGGAGAGGATGGAATGGCCTGCCAGCAGTCCTGACCTCAACCCCGACCTGAACACTTGTGGGATCAGCTTGGGCGTGCTGTTCGTGCCAGAATGACCAACACAACCACTATGGCTGACTTTCCACAAATGCTGGTTGAAGAATGGGATGCCATCCCACAGCAGTGTGTGACCAGGCTGGTGAGGAGGAGGTGCCAGGCTGTTGTGGCTGTGTATGGTTCTTCCACACGCTACTGAGGCTCCTGTTTGTGAAATGAATAAATTGTTTAATTGCCAATATGTCTTGTTTCTTTAAACTTCAATCACCCAATCCACCAAACACCAAACGAGTCAATGGCAGAATAAGCTGTTTGGCATTGGCAGAGAAGATTTGGCAAATTTTTCATGGGCGCAACCCACATACTCAGCTCTGCTGTTCATCCCACAAGTGCATGTTCCTTACAAATGGGGCACCATTTGAAAGGGAACTAAACAGGATTTCCAATGGTATAAGATTTATTGCCAAAAAGCATTGTTACCACAGAGAAATAATCAACCAAACACAAATGTCCTTACTTTTTGTGCTAAGTTTATATATAAATATATACAAGTACTAAAAGTTAAAAATAAAACATTATTCAGAATGGCACCTTTTAGAATAATGTACTGTATCATTTGATTATGATAATTAATGCATTCATGTGTAAGCATCACTTTTATGATACAGCTAGTAAAGATTGGAGTAATTTTAACAATATTGCTCGGTAGCTTAATCTATAAGACATTATTTCTTGATGATTGTGTTTTGTATTAATCTGAATCTGAAGAGTAACTAGTAACTAAAGCTCTCAAATGAAAGTAATGGAGTAAAACTTCCTCTGAAATGTAGGGGACTAGAAGTATAAAGTGGTGTAACATGATATTACTCAAGTACAAGTACCTCAAATTAGTAGGCTATAGTATAGGTATAATACTTGAGTATAGTTACTTTCCACTGATAGATATCCACAGCAGTTGGATTCAGACCCTAAATTGGGATGCAGTTCATGTTCAAGATCTTGAACCCAGTGAGGCATCCTATCTGTTTCTGATAGTAACTGAAATGCGTCACAAGGCACACTGTGTGGGTGATGGATGACATGTGGGTGCTGGCTAACATTATGGAGTTAACACCAAACAGGTGACAAGTACATGAATCAGGTGAAGGCTGTTATTTTTCCCATGACAACAGTGGGAAACTGATAATGACAAGGACCACTATATAGTAGCAACTGGACTCTCTTACACCAAGTAAAAGTTTTGTTTCACTGACATCTTGTGGTTTGAAGTTTTAAATCTGTTGCATCACTGACCACCATGCACTTGCATTTACATAGATCGTTTAGGTGTTTTTTGTAATATGATCTTTATATGGCCGAATGAAGGGAGAATTTCGGCGGAATTATTACTTATCCAAAAATCATGGTGGCAGAGCATGATCCAACAAGTGTCAAAATGTGTTATTAAAGTGTAACTAACTGTTTTCTGAACCAACAAGGGACTCTCCCTGTTTCTCCGCTATCTCTTTATCTTCCTCTTCCTAAGAGCACCATAGAGATGTTCACACCAAAACAATACAAGTGCGGATACCAGATCCTTTTTGCCAGCAGGATCAGACGCTACCGGAAAAAACACAGATTTTGTATTCTGATGCAGTCGCTTGCTCAAGCAACATAAATGGCTCCGTCCACCCACGCCTAGTCAGTTCTCTAAACTCTGCCTGAACGTGCTCCGGAGAGAAAAACGCCCTCTCACTTAAAATGTAAGTACATTTATCTCTTAAGTCTGACGGATTTATTTGGTCTGGCAACATTTTATTCAATATCATGTTTTTGTTCATAAGTAGAAAGTCATTCCAAAGATCTCTTTAAGGTCATTTTGTGATGTTTTTATTTAGTTTTTTTGATTTTTATTCTGTTTGATTAATGCGACTGGAATTTTAATAGTAGACTTTAAAATGAGCGCAGTTCTGAATATATTTTCATTCTGTTTTGTTTTCCAATTTTTTCAATCTTCATTTCTTTTTGTTTTTTCCTTTTTTTCCAGTTTTCTTTTTTTAAAATAAGTGTGTATATAACTGCTGATGGCGAGTAAATCCTGGCTTACTCCTCAAGTGACACTGGTGCTGCTCTTAATTACTTGGAGGGAGAGCATGTATTGCAGTGGAGTTACAGGTTGGTCCAGATTTGTTTATTTCAATTATTAATTTATCGGTCCTATGCCACCCTTCAGTTATACCTGAATCATTTCAACCCCCGACAAACCGAGATCCTTACCGTGCCTTGCAAGCCAGTCAAATTAAAATATGAATGAATTTAGCAGGGCGCACAATTAATAAATTGTTCTGTTGAGACAGGGCACAGTTGCCAGTATAGGATTGATTTAGGATAATAATGCAATAAGCAGTTATCAGAAATTCTACTTGCCATTTATATTGTTAAAATTCTGCTTTGGATTTTATTATTACATTGTATTAGTATACCATCCTAAAATACAATAGATACACACTGTAAATAAATTTCCTTTTCACTTACAGTGGATCCTCCTGAGGACATTGTGATATTAGACCCTGGTCATCTTGGACATCTTGTGATTACATGGAACATCCCAGCAAGCTTGATTAATATGAGAGAGTGCCCAAAACAGTATCAGCTGGAGTACTTCGACACATACAGGGACAGATGGACTGTAAGTGCATATCATTTTAATCAAATCTTAATCTGAGGCACTTACCTCCTGCCAAGTATGATTATTATGTGATGAACAGAATCAGCTGAAGGCAATTACAGTAATGGTAGCATTGTCATGCCACCTTAACTTGTGTGTGTAAATGTGTGGAAGTATTAAAATAGCAGCATGTAGGTGCAATACTTTAGCACACTTCTGTGGAAATGCACCACACGCTGGTTTAGTTCTGCTGCCATATCCTCAGGTTGGCATCCTCAGGGGGTTTACATCATATGTCATAATCATACATAATCATCATCATTTTAATGTGAGAACCAGTTTGTATGTTTTTAATTTCTTGTGGATACTCTTTGATCCTTGGAGAATATTCCAGTAAATTTCACTTCTAAAATGCCTTTCATCACAACCACTTAGTATGTTTTCTGTTTTTTTTCTTTGGTGGGAAAAAAACAGAGCCTAAGTAATAGATCTAAACTAAAACATATGTTAATGCATCATGATATGCTTGACTAAGAATGAACTAACCATAAAATTCTCATGTCAGCCTTATCTTGACTGCGTAGGAGTAAAAGAACAATACAAAGATGTTAACGTTTCCAAAGGACGCTGGTGTCTGACGCAATAAGGGGTCAGATTACAATGACAAACACAGATATGACTACATCAGTGATAACGTCTGTGCCTATGACAATGACCCTGGCTATGGTGATGATTACGACAATTTCTGCTGCCATGGCTATGCATTAATTAAGCTCTTTCATAATCTCATGTAGTCAATTGTAGATGTTTAAAGCTTTATCTTGACATACTGTAAATTAATATAATTTATGCCCATCCCTGTCTCATTGTTATTTGTTAAAAAAGTGTGTTTATTGTTGGCAGGACACCAGTTAGGATACGATACTAGAACAGTTCAGGGCGTGATCTTTTCAAGTTAACAACTGAGGTGTAAAATTTGATTTCAGACTGGACAGACAGCAATAATCAGCTTGGGATACAAGCATTTAAATACCCAGAACAACATTTCAATGGAAATCATGAATAACAGAAATTTGTTTCTGGTTTGGCAGACTATTAGGACCGCCAGGAGAACATACAGTGCTCAGTTTGATCTGACAAAAGATGTTAGAGTGAGATTGTACACCTTGCTGAGTGGACCCTGCACCAATGGCACTATGATCAAGAGTACGAGCTACACTGAACTGGTCCAGAAACCTACTAACACAGGTAAGACCTAAAGGTGTAATAGATGGTAGTAAAAACATCAATAATTAGATATTTGGAAAATGTATGAATTGACATTGATTGGCTTTATTCACCTTTCCACCTCTAGGTGTTGTGGGTACAGCAGTTCAGGATTTTGTCTGTGTGTACCATAACATGAACTACATGATGTGCAATTGGGAAAGAAGCCCGAAGATGCTGGCCGACTCACAGCAAAATCTTTTTTTCTGGTACGTTATATGTCCATCAAAGACAGTTTGTGGCCACACCTGCAGAAGTCAGTTAGTCCACCAATTTGCTCCAGAACAAAATATCTCCCTTTGAAATCTTGTACAGACATTCACAGTCCTCAGAAGATAAATCCTAACCACACTGGTGATCCCCTGACTTTTCATCTAGCACCACCACTAGGTTGGTTTGAATTGAATGTCTCAACAACCTTGGATAGATTGCCAATACATTTGGGCAGATATTCAAGATCCTCAGAGGATGAATCCTAACAACTTTGCTGATCTCTTGACTTTGCATCTAGCACTACGAGCAGGTTGAAATGCTTACTTATGATTCACCTTGACAACTCATGGACTGACAAAACTGCTGCAGCATTTTGGAGTGAAGCTTTTGCTATATCATAAAATCAACAGGAAATCAACTGCACCTGAAATCCTGGTAGAAGTTCTGACGGAAGCTTCACGCTAACATGCATCAACAGTTTGTTTCTTTTGTTCGTGCACCTATAAAATCCACTTCAGTGTCATCAGGAACAAAATTGTCCCAGTTATGTTTGGAATTGCTGATGATACTACTGAGTACCACTAAATAAGGGCCACAGACCCTTGAAAAATGGAAGTGATGGTTAACATCCAATTTACATCTTCAAACCTCACCAACTCTCAACAAAACTGTATGAATGAATCAATAGAACCCATCTAAGCAGTGCGTTATCTGGTTGTCTCTTCTGCAGGCACGGGGAACTGGAACAGGTAGAGGAATGCCCAAGATATGTTATTTCGAGTGGAGTCAGGAAGGGCTGCAACTTCACAGGGATATCGCTCCCTGATTTTACTGATATAATCTTCTGTGTAAATGGCACATCTCCTGAAGGGCCCCTGATACCAACATTCATCTCCCTGCAAATTCAAAACTACGGTAAAAGAATGTTTGCCTTCTGGTAATAGTACAGCCTTAATATTCAGTGAGGGTATTGCCCTCATGTTTTGAGAGTTTGCCCTCTGTGCCTCCTGTCACAATCTATAATCTGCTCTTTTGTGTTTTAATGTTAATGCAGTAAAGCCTGAAATCACGGAGAAAGTAATTCTGCAAACAGGTCCAGACATGCAGCTGGAACTAAACTGGGACCGTCCTGTTGGCAGTGTTCCTGGACACTGCCTAAAATGGGAGGTGGAACGCTATCAAGAGGGACCTGATGGAAAAACCGCACCGGTATGGATAACCTTATATGTACATAATATAGTACATCTTCTGTTGAGTAACTCTAAGGTACTCACTGTACCTGAAAGAGGCTTTGTCCCAATAATCCTTGAGCAGAGGGTGGACAGCTTTTCACAACCCTTTTTTTTTTTATTGGCTTCCACAGATCCAAGACTGATGAAAGCATTGTAGAGCCAACTGCAGATTGACATATAATACGCTTTACAATTTATAGCTATATATTTAAGTCTTCAAGATTTACTAGTATTAGACATATTGTCAACATCAATCTATGCTTGTCAGTGTTAACAATAGCAGACAATTGGGGACACTGTAGGCACAAGATCTTGGCAAGTCGGATGATCCCACACTTTAACAGACCCAACCCAAGAGCAATGGGGATGACAAAAATAAGTATATAAATATATTCTTGATTTTATTTGTTGTGCAAAGACCACAACACATACAGGACAGCAGTGTTAAAATACCTCAACACCACCTTTAATAAGGAAGTGCTTACTTTGAAGCAAGGTCTTTAGCTCTTACAGATGTGCCATAAAACCAAAAACAATGAGCTAAAAGAGACTCTACATATTTGTGGTTACATTTAAATAACTTCTTTACATGTTTTCGTTGTTGACAGGTTTATGTTATAACCGAACAGATGAGCCTAACTCTGCCCTACATCCACGACAAAGAGAAAAACTGCTTCAGGGTTCGGTCCAAATTGCAAAAGTATTGTGCAGACAAAAGCTTTTGGAGTGAGTGGAGTCGTCCAGCATGCCACCCAGGTAAAGATGTTTCGATGTACTACGACATTGCATTAAAACACCAATATTTTCTTCCACCGTGTAATACTACCCATTACAAAAAAACCTGATATATAATAGATACAAATAAATATATAAATACAATTAATAGCATGGAATCAGTCCACTGGCATGACAAGCTTGGTGTGGAAAAATACTGTTAATCGTCAATCAATCATCAATATCCTCCCTGTCACTGTGTTTGGATGTTCCCATGAGACTTTTCCCCATAACATAAATAAAACTTAGTTTAAATTCCTGAAGATTTATATATAATAACACATTTCTGAAGGATCTATTCAAAGGGTATTTTCGAGTGAATAAAGGAATTACAAAATAAGCTGTGAAGCAACTTTTTTGTTTAAAGCCACATCAGCAATCAGTCACATCAACTTTGTGGATTCCCGGCTTGAAGACTCCGATGCCATAAAATGGTCAGTTTAATTTTTATTCTTTATAATTATTTGTATGATATTACAAAAAATAAATTGTAAATATATTTGTAATATTTTAAATCAATTATGGTTATTGTCTATCCTTCTGTTGTTATGTCAACTTCAATTTGAGTTTGTTTTGCTCGTTATCATTTTCAAAGCTGAAGAGAATTTAGATTTTAATGTTGTAAAGAGATCCATAAAAACTACATATACATTGTCAACATAGTGTGGAAATCTCCCTTTAATCTGATATATACATAAATACCTTTAATATTATATTCAATATTGTAATTCAATATTAGAAGGAATTATAACATGGTTTATAAAAACTACACATCACAATTTGTCCTAACTTTCTAATTTGTCCTTGTTTTATAGACACACATGATGCCAAGTTCTGGTCCTTTGGAGAGAGAGATGAAGGATCGTCTTCTATTTAGGCTTCAGAGAGTTTTGACAACATCCTGAACAAAAGGAAAATGTTGCAATAATTGTCAGTGGCTTAAAATAATAAATGTACAAAAAGTAAATATTTTGAACATCAAACAATAGACCTCTAGTATCTAACTTGGTTAATTTAAATTTCTTGGTCAGTAAGTAGGGTCCTGCCTTATATTAGGCTTTATTAGTTTTTGTTGAGTGTTACATTATACTTAGATTGCTCTATTTTAAAATACATTTTCATATTGAAAAAGTACATGTATGTAAGTACAGTAATAAGCGTACTGGGCCCTCATGAGACGTAGGCTAACTTCTCATTAACCAGGCGCACCCCCAGAAATTTTTCATAGGGGTGGACCCCCCCGGCCCCCCTTTCACGGAACCCCTGTGAAGATACAAAGTGCTCTTTGCAAGTTTAGGTTACAAATATCTACGAATGTGGCATGAACCAAAGGTACTGTTACTGAAGTTATTTAACTGACTGAGGCACCTTGATGATAAACTAAACAGTCACGACTTTGTTGTGGCTGGTCGTGACTCACACAGTCTGTCTACAAGGTATCGTTTTGTCTTTTTTTCACCACCAAAGAGTGGGAGTTGGCCACAACATCTGCAGTGACTCAGATTTGTGAGAAAAAATTTTTTTTCTGCATTAACGCCTTTCTACTTTATGAGAGATACTTTTTCATGGGAAAAAAAACAAAAAGTAAAACAAAGCCCCTGAGCCAAACCCAAATCCTGTATCCAGCCTCAAGCAAGCTCCAGTAGACTCATGCAGGGCTCTGTCTCCCCTCTTCACTCCCTGCAACTCCACTTAAGTATGGGGATATTTCCCTATTTTTAGGGGGGGGGGTCTCAGAGCGAGGACTTACTCAAAACACATCCATTATTACAAGCCTGTACGCCTACTTGTTTTATGTCAGCACATATAAGCACATATCACATCCATCCTTTTAGACATGATGACTGCATAACATGGCTGTAAATACAATTCAGCACCAAAATTGAGCAGGTCCAGCGGCTCCAGTGCAAATGGTTCAGAGCGGGTCTTTTTTTCATTTCCGATGTCTGATTTAAATTGACGTTTAAGACATAACGCCCCCACGCTTCAATGGTGAGGACAAGAATTGCATGCAGGCCGGTATCTTTATTAAAGTGAAATAGTGATGCGTAATGCGCAAATCATACATTAAAAATAGCCTAATTTTACACATGATCCATGATTATGACAATACAAAAAAACAAAACAAAAAGGAAATGCATGGGGAAAAACAGTATTTTGCCAATATTTTAGAGACCCCCCCAAAATTTCACAAATCATGTTTTCAGGGGAGCTCATGTCTCATTAAGGGGGGCTGAGACCCCCCTGGCTCCCCTGTAGTTCGCACCCTACTACTTCGCATACTTTTTCCCCAGAGCCACTCTGGGCAAAAAGTAGTATCTCTCTCTTATGACGTAGAAAAAAAGCGTTAATTAAAAAAAAAAAAAAAATTCTCACAAATCTGTGAGTCCCTGGGGTGAGGGTTAGGGGGGACCGTGTTGTCCCGCGATCCGCTAGGCTCGGTCCTGAACCATGAAGGTGAACTTGTTTTCCTGTCTAGCGGAAGCCGCTCTGCTATAAGGCTACTACAAAACAAAACGTAAAAAAAAACCCAGTATCTAGTTATAAAGCAAAAACTATAATAGTCCCTTTATTCCAAAAGTTTTAGGCTATAAAAAGCAAGAGAAGTATATTAAATAAAGCAACAGAGGGCGGGGTTCAACACTGGCCTGGGAACGCCTCGGGATCCCCCAGTCAGAGTTGGCCGATGTGGCCAGGGAAAGGGAAGTTTGGGGTCCTCTGCTGGACTTGCTACACCCGCGACCCGATCCCGGATAAACGGATGTAGATGAGATGAGATGAGATGAGGGCGGGAGTGGATGAACTCAGTTAAAGAGTAACACCGCCCGTACGAGACGCTCTAATAGTAAAGCGAACGCGTCCGCAACGAGCCTGGTTTCCTATTGGGGGATTTTGACAGGGTCATTACTGTCAGTGGTCATGGCACCGAGGATCCAACAGCAGGGGCTGTTAGAGTGCGAAGTTTTAAAGGAAAGCATTTTACAAATCTGCACGTGAAATCAATAAAAGACCACGCTCCTGAATGAAGATAGGGATATACCCCCCCCCATAAGAACAGGGACTGTGGGCTCACCATTAAGCACTTCTGTGTGCACTGTGAAAGCACCCGATACACATCGCAGAGAGTGGAAGGAAGGGAAGGGGGGGGGGTGTTGTCAATACAGGTCCTGTGACTCATTTTTTGTAACTTTTGGAAGTCCACCAATACTGGAATAACTCATTCTTTTGTTGGTTTAATTTTTACTCGCTGATTTCTTGCCAAATTCTTGTAAAAAATCTGTTTATTTCAACACTGAAGAAGTGGACTGAAAGTATCTGTAGATTCATGTAGATAAATGAAACTGTCATTTGGCATTGAAGCTACACAATGTTTTTGCACAATAAAATGTCTGATCAAACTGTGTGCTGGTATGAGTCTCCTTCATTGTACTCCAGATGTTCGATAATGGTGTCTAATTTTAGGCCCCTCGCGCATTACCCTGTACATAAATAATATCTATTTTCCAACTGAACGTTAAAATTTTTATGCTGATGAAACCATCTTTTATTTAATCAATTCTACTGCGCATAACTCCAGAAAGACTAAATGTATGCATTTCACAAGAGCAGAGAGCTATGATGTCCCTACTTGGTGGAAATATAATTATACAGTACAGCATTATAAGTACTTTGGAAATTTGGTAACATGGCAAAAAAAACAACAACATAAAAAACATGATACAATCCACTATATGACTGGATTTTGGAGATATCCTGTATATTTATGTTGCTGTTACTACCCTTAAACCACTGGATTGGGTGTACATCCATATTGGGTGAACAATTTGCTACACATGGCCCTGCATATTCATAATCTCCTTTAATGTTTGGACGTTGAAAGAAGAAAGTGACAGGGATTTAAGTTCAATCAGAAAGTCAACACTTCACCCTCATGTTTAAAACCTCTAATACAAAATACTATAATACAGCTCTAATACAAATATTTGGATTATGTCCAAATATGAATCTTCTGCTTTGTTTGGAATTTATATTCGGGCTGACTTGTTATAGATGTAGATGTAACTTTGTCTGTGTGCATTGAGAGTGATGGGACTGTACAAAATGTGCCAGAAAACCAAAAACAATGAGCTAAAAGAGACTACATATTTTTGGTTACATATAAATATTTCTTTACGTGTTTTTGTTGTTGACAGGTGCATATTTTAAACACTTATATAGATTTTAGTTGACTTGTCTTTGTGAGGATCAGTGATAAATGTTTTTTTGCTTGTAGGGATATTTAAATATACTGAAAACAAACCAAAACCTTGTGTGTGTCTTTTCTTTTAGAAAAGAACGAAATCAAACTTGAACCAGAATGGGACATGGTACCTGTTTATGTGTATATTGCTGTTACCATCATCACCATACTGGTGCTGTTGCTGTGTGTGGGGGCAGTGCTCAAAGTGTGAGTAAATACACAAATACTGTGTAGTATGCACACACACTGAGATATTGAAATGTGAAGGTAAGCTCACTCTAAACTGTTCTTCCATTGTAGGAGGAGTTCAAAACAAGTGAAGAAACCCGACTCTCTGCTCACCATGCTGTTTGCCAGAAATTCAGTTCTTACAGTGGTGGAAGCCTGAAAAGACATGAAAACCTTCACCGCTCTCAAACAGACCTCTCTCATTGTTCAGGGTGCATGATTAAAAAATTACAGAACAAAACTCTCATAGATGCACACAGAGTCATCACTTGAGATTGTTACACATTACTGAAGACATTACATATTAGGTTGACGGTTACAGCTTTACAGAGTTATTTACAAGAAAATCTAATCAGTATTATATTATTTCAACCTTCTGTCCTATGCTTGCCTTTTTTAATTTATATTTTTACATTATGGAAAAAAAAGTATCAATCGTTGTCATTGTCAGTTTTTGTTGTTTACTTGCCAGCTGATTTAGTCAGCAGAGTTACTTGGAATAAGAGCGATTACTCATTCTTTGGGAATTAGTTTTTGATGTTTTACTATTTGCCAGATATCTTGCCAGTTTATCTTGATGTTGTGGAGAAATCACAGATTTTATTGATTTCATTTTTATGTTTATTGTTTAATTGTTTACCTTTTGCCTTTTTTACAGTTGCCAGTTAGCTCAGCCAACAAAGCTTTTATAATCATAATCATATGAGTATACAGGGATAATACACATGAAATGGATTTTATTGTACGCTTCAAGCCAGTGAAGTCTTTCATCCCTTACAGAATTTATAATGAGACTGAGTGGGATTTCTTTACTTTAAATGGGTTAAAACTGAAGAAATTAGCGTGTCACGGGTTTGTAATGCCACTGCTCCTTGCCAGTTTTATCTTGAAGAGTTTTAAGTAACTCAGCATGACTGCAAAACAATGTTAACACATTTTTGTTTAAAAATATGCCAAAATGCCTCAATTACGTATTATATGAAATGTACCTCACCCACCCTTTGATTTTTGTATATTTTTTTGTATTAAATGGTAAAGTTGGTCAGATGTTGTCATTACTTGTTTTACGAACTTTATGCATCATTAAAAAAATCTTTTTGTATTCAAAATCTGTCACTAATAACTATAGCTATACAGATTTTATAAGAGCATAAACAAGGGCTGAAATTCGGAAAATGAATGTATCACACACAGTTTTCATGCTTATATACTATTCTGAGCTCGTACGTCTTTGTGTTACTGTGTTTATGGGGTCTGAGAGGCATCATCACACTTAATGCTTTGTAATAATCATCCTAATCATTTTAAGACAGTGTATTATAGAAGAGGGGTTCCCAAACCTTTCAAAAGATAGATAAAGATAATAAAGTCCTCAAAGTCACCCAATGCAATAAATCTATACAACCAAACCCATTTCTTTCCTTGTTCTAACTTCCAAAAATTTGATAAAAGTTACAATATTCTATTCCTCCTTTTGCGAGGGACTTGCTACAACCACTTTTATAGTATATAAGTGGATATAATGACTGCTAACAGTTTGTCACTCAAAACAACACTACAGGCTGCAGCTGAAACTGATACATGTTAATGAACTTGCTGAACTCTTTGCATGATTGAAAGCCGTCTTTCCTCCAGAAGACAAAACAAGTGGAGACTAAAAGATTTCTAAGACTAAACAAGTACAGGCTATTTACTTCTGAAAATAAAAGTGGTATATTAAAAATAATGTACTGTTTGCATAACCATGTCTTTCATCATTTGTTTGAACTGTTTGTTTGATTACAGCGAAAGTTACCACTGCTGCATTTTGCATGTAATGTTTGCATAGTTAGATATCAGATTGCTTTGATTGCATTTTCATTTTGTGTTTTTCAGCCTCAGGGGCCTCAATACCAGTCATGAAGGACAGTCTAAAAAGTGCTGTATTGATTTTCATAAGTATCCTGCACTGTTGCATTTGTATAAAAAATGAAAAGTGTCTTATGTACATCAGGACATGTAGTTTATCAAGATGACTGCATGACTCTTAACATTTTTGGGTTGCATGGTTGAATGCACCTATTGTAATTTGTTTGGATAAAAGCTAAATAATACTGTATTGTAATAAGAAAATCCAATGTAATCAGTAACTCTCAAACATTTTCTCTTTGATTTCCACATGCAACACCAGGTAAGTTGTGAATATTCTGCTCAGCATCTGAGAAGAACAAGGAATTATTAATTTGAAAACATTATTTGTATGCAAATAATAGTATTTTTCAACTGTGACATTTTACTTGCAAGTAAATAGCCGTCAATGTGAAGAATCAGGGTCAAGATTCAGTGAGGACTGTGACTTTTGTTATTATGTTACAGTTTTACCTCTGACACACATGACACAATACCAATATACATGGTAAAATACGCTGCTTTTGACTGTTTATAAAGAATAGGTTTCACTTTTTACAGCTCTTGGTGCCCTCCAGTGACCAGATAATATATTGCACTCAACACATTTAAAAATGAAATGTTATGGATATTTTTAGTGGACTACATGTGATTTATATTGCCACTGGAGATCTTGTTATGAACAGGATTTCTCATTACCTTTCCGTGTGGCTATTTGCCTGAAGAAGAACAGAGCTGGATTCATAACGCCAAAGGAAGCTCTGATTTGGATCAACAGTTACTATCATCCTTGCCCTTAATTAACACACAGACACAATTCTGTTGATGCTTCACATATATCTCACTAAACTCATCAATATGCAATGCAAGCAGACATTAAACTTAGAATTTTCACTGCATGATATTTTCTTTTGTGTTGGGAAAGTAACCATCTGGATCTGCTGATACTGTTTTTTAGCAACTGATCCAACATTCATTGACATCCACAAGGTCAGCTAGGCAGCTGACTGCTTCCCACACCAGGTCGCCTTGTTCATACCTGACTATCCATGTGCAGTGTGTGTCTACGGGTAGTTGTGTCTTTCTTGTTTACTGCATTTGGCTCATTAATAACATGAGAGAGTTCTTATGTGATTAATCTGTGAATAAGTGCGAGAATCTCGAATAAAGTATGCACTCACTCACACTAATACTTTTGTGTTATGGGTGGTTATTGGGTGCAACCTCTAGTTGCTCTGAGTCTCGTCTGAATGAAGCACTCTTGCTGCATGATAAAACAGAAGATAATGGATGGTTTGCAGCTCAATGAATAATAGAATTATTCTGAGGAGAAACACAAAAGTTATTCAAGTGATTTGACTGTTGTATTTGTGTTTCAGGGGACCCAGGGGACTGCAGGGCTGCACAAGCGTGATAGTGAAGGAAAGTGAGTAACTTTTTTTCAGGTTAATATGTAATTTTGGTGGAGCCAAGCTTGATAGACGATTGGTTGCAGGGTAATGTGTAGCCTAGGTGTTACTTTTCAGTCTATTTATCTGCCTTATTAGTCTGCAGAGGACGTCCACTGCTGAGGATCAGAAGAGGAGCTGTACAATTTCAGGTTTTCATTCATAATTTTCTTGGAATTTTTAGGACATCTGTGCATTATTATATCGCTCTGAACAATAATTTTCCTCCCCAGGCAACGAGGTGTCAGAGTCCATCTTTGTCTCTGTCCCCCAGGTTCAGTAACTGGAATCTGTCCCTGCAGAGTGAAAGAGTGCAGGGCCTGGCTGGTTACTGCGCCTAGGGGCCAGACTACTCTCCAAAGGCCACATTAGCTTTACAACAAGAAACTTCACTGCTTGAGATTTACAGTCAAATGTGTTGTCTGTCCTAATACCTAACAGCTGGAGTAAAGGTTGTTTGGGGTTGTATTTCTTTTGCTGATATTAGTTGTGCTAATGCTCTGCAATTACAGCTGTAGTCATGTCCAAAGAATTTAGAAATGAGAGCATGTAGTAGCAGCTGCAGAGACGCAGAACTATCTTCAACTGCAAAAATATT